CTGCTGGGAATTCAGGCTTCTTCCCGGCATTGGCCTAGACTCAGGGCTCCTTTAGGGGTCTTAGGACATTTATAAGGTTGGGAATAGTATGGGCTGAACAACTTCCAAGGAAAAGGAAGTTGGTAAGAAGTGTTGGGACACGTGGGTTCATGGTCCTGCCATGCTGCTGAGGAATATCTGTACGACCGTCCACCTTCTGAACTGCTTTGAGTTCTTAAATCTTTTTTATTCATCTGCCCCCATGGCCCTTGCCCTTTTATCACTCATAGCATTATTATTACTGTCCTGGAGCCCCACCCCTGGCCTCCAGGTCTTCCCCAATCTAATGTTTAGAAAGGACTATGTCACCCCCCTGCTCAGAATCCTTCCTTGGCTCCCACTGCCTCCAGGATAAGGCCTACGCTCCGTGGCCTGGCCTTGTGGGATCTGCTCACCTTTCCTTATACTTCAGTCTTTCCCAGTCTGCCGGCCTCTTCCCTCTCCTCAGACTGGCATTTTCTCCTTGGATTGGGATCCTCTCCTGGAAACAGCAAAGAAAGCTAAATGAGCTTCCTTTCCTCCTTCCTTTGCCAGATAGGGGCTTCCCTGTAGCTCAGGTGGTAAAGCATCTGTCTGCAATGCGGGAGACCCAGGTTCGATCCCTGGGTCAGGAAGCTCCCTTGGGAAAGGAAATGGCAACCCACTCTGGTACTCTTGCCTGCAAAACTCCATGGACTGTCCCTGAGGAGACTGGTGGGAGACAGTCCATGGAGTCGCAAAGAGTTGGACACAACTGGGTGACTTTCACTTTGCCAGATGGAGATAATAGCTGATATTTCTTTTTTTGTTTTGCTGGGGATGGATTTAGTTTTACTTTCAGTTGTATTTAGTTTTGAAAAACTCAAGATTTGGAAAATACAAAGCATACAGAAGATTACAAGCTACCCAGACCTTAATAACTTTCTTGCCCTCAAATTTCCTCAAATTAGTATCTCTTTTTACACATTTTAAAGACTCTTCCATAAATATCATCTAATGAAGATCTGCTGTGTGCTTTCCATGGATTATTCACTTAAATCCTCACAGTCACCTGTGGGCAGACTGAGGCTCAGAGACCAGAGCCTCATGGTTGATAAGCAAAGATCCGAGACAATGTGTGCCCATTTATGAAGTGCTTTCTATGTGCCCTAGGATTGTCCCAGAGCTGGGACATTCAGCGAGTCATTCAACGAATACTGAGTGCCACTCTTTTAGGTCACTGGGCTAGGTTACCTCCTAGGGGAGGAGGGCAGAGGCTTAGCCTTCCCAGAGTTTATATCTCAGTGGAGATGGCCTGTCGCTGTTGCCCCCTTTTTCTTTTTCTTCTTTTTTTTCCCCCCTTTTTCTGAGTAAGAAAACCAAGGAACAGACGCGAAAGAAACAGACCTGAGGTCATACAGTGGTAAGAAAAGAGCTGGGATAAGCAGACTTACTTTACTACTGGGGAAGCTGGGGCACAGAAAGGGAAACAGACTTGCCTAAGGAAACCCGGCAGGCGGCAGAGCCGCGATTCCCAGGCTCACAAGGTCTCGGCCTTCCCGGCGCCTCCCCTCGGGGGGCGGGCCCACATCGGGCCCCGCCCCACCGCTCGCGCCTGCCTTCCTGGCAGCCCTGGCGGCTGTTTCCTGCCCGCGTAGCCGGGCGGGCGGGCGGCCGGCCCATCTGGCGGCCCCCACGGGGAGGCGCGGGGAGGCGGCCCAGACTCGCTGGAGCCAGGCGCCGGCCTGGGCCCCCGTGCCCGCCTGGAGAGCCCAGGTGTGGCCGCGGCGGGGGTGGGGGTGGTGCCTTCCTTCCCGCTCGGCCCTTCCTGACGCACCCGGGCAGGATGCTGCCTCCTTCCCAACCTCCGCCTCCCACGACCTGGCCTGGAACGGGGAGGGAACACTAGCGGTGGGAGAGCGGGCTGGGCAGGGAGCAGCAGGCCCCGCCTCTGGTCTCCACTCCTTAGGAGACCTCGGGCAAGTCTGGCCCTTTTTTGGCGTGGGTGGGACGGGTGTAGAGAGCACTCGGTTTTCCCATTTGTGTGAGAACGGCTGAACTCTGACCGGATCGCCCAGGATCCTGCCTTGCCACTCAGGGTCCGACCCCAGACAGGCTTGTGGGAGCGGGAGGCACCTCTCCTGCCTGAGGATCGTGACATGATCATTGACCTGACATTATCCATTCGTTCAGCCATTTAGTCTGTCTGCCTGATCACAACGTCAGCTGGGGAGCACGCGCTTGACCCGTGTTCCCTGCCGTGCCCAGCGGCTTGACCTGTGCCCAACTCATACCAGGTGCTGAAGCCCCAAAAGGGCATGTCAAGGCTTTACCCCTCCCCCCAAACTGGAGCCACCCCTCGAATTGGAGCCACCCTTCCAAATTGGAGCTTACTCATTTGACAGCTGAGCAAACACGACAGAGTGGGCAGCCAGCCCTGCTGTCGATGCTGACCCTCTTCTCCATTGCCACTCCAAGACAGGGAACCTGGAATTGAGCATCCTGATTTATGTTAGCAGCACCTGCGGTGAACATCCCCCAAACCAGGCATCCTAGGTTCAAATCCCTCTGGGGCCCTTATTGTCTATTTCCATTTCCTTTATCTGTAAAAATGACGACACCTCCCTCACAGGGGTGTTATAACCATTACATGAATATTTCTAAAATAGGTTATCATAATGCTAGACATGTTACAGATGAAATAGTGTCCTGGAGCTCTCCGCAGGGCTGGCCTCCCTCTTCCCCTACAGTAGCCCCCTCCTACTCAACTGTAGTCAGGAGAGAGGGAGGCCACTGAGGGACACCTAACAAATCAGGGGCGAACTTGGGGGTTTTGGAGCTGTTTCCCAAGAATCCACTCCCACCCGCGGGGTGAGGCTGGCAGCAGGCCCACCCAGGGCCCTGCCCAGCCACCCACCCCCGCCTCTCCAGCGTGCAGACCCGATCCGTGCCCGGCCTGGTGCCATTTTTCCATGGGACTCTGGCTGTGGCGGTTCACATCTGGAGTCTAGACTCGGAGGCTCTGCGGGCCGGGCCTACCGCCCGGGCTGGGCCACCACTGCCCGCTGTTTGCTCAGCTGAAGCTGGTTAATTGGAATTAGAGTGGCCTCTGCGGTGCCGGCTGGCCGGGCGGGCCCTGGATGGCCGCTGCCGAGGTCTGTGGAGCATCTGGCGGGGCCGGGATGGTCATTAGGTGGCAGGCGCCCGGCGCCACTGCCACCTCAGCCTCTGCCGGGGGCCGGCGGTGACTCAATGAGGGCTTTGTAGGCTATGGACCGCAGAACCAACCGTGCTGTGTGCCTGGGCTGCCTGCCCCATCTGCCGCCCTCAGAGAGGCCTTGTTCCAGGACCACACGGCCTCCCCTCTGGAGGCGGCAGAGATCCGAGAAGCCCCTGAAACAGACCCTCTTGGCTGGGGGAAGCTTTTGAGATTTCCCTCCTTCCTTTCCAGAAAGTCCAGAGAAGTTGATAGTGACTCAGGCCCAGGGGTCTGCAGCAGAGGAGGTGTAAAGTCCTTAGGAACTCTGGAATTTGATTCAGATTGCTCAAGGTCAAATCCCTGTCTAGGGGTAGGTAAGCTGCCTCATTTCTCTCACTTGTACATGGGGCTAATATTACAGATGGAGAGTATGAGAATTAAGTAAATCCTGTATTGAGGTGCTTGGTACATGCAGCAGCTCCCATTATCTGCTCCCACTTGTTCTTAAGCTCCAAACTGGAAGCACTGTCCTTTTCAGCCTTTAAACCTGGAAGCTTAGGCAGAGATCTCTGGGCTGTTGACTAAGTCTGAGTCTCAGGCCAGTGGCCACCCTCCCTGACCTTAGTTTCTTCACCCAGTGACCCCATATTAGGCAGGTAAATGAAGGCTGTGCCCACCCCTTGCCTGGTCCACTGGGGGTTCTCCTTCAGGCCAGGGCTGTTGTCTTTGGCAAACTGTGGAGAAACCCTGGCTCTGGGATCTCCGGTTCTCGTGCCTGGATGGCCTCCTAGAAGCCCCCTCCCCAGCCTCTCCAGGGGTGCTCGGGATGGCGCTCGGGATGGCGCCGAGAATCAGGATCCTGGCTTTGCAGCAGTCGTTTTGGGAAGAACCCAAGGAACGGGCAGAAGGGGAGTGGTGGGTCCTCCGTGTCCAGGGTGACCTAGAGTCCCAGTGCTCCCCAGCTGAAGCCCTGTGAACACTGAAATCACAGAGGATGGCTTCTGCCAGTGTGGGAATAAAATCCACTCTTTCCTGGGGCCCACGTGGCCCTGCTGCTTCCCTGGCTTCACAGATAATGGCCCTCCTGCTGAGTCAGGCTAGCCTTTTGGTACCACAGCCTCTTCCCCGCAGACCTTTCCTCCAGAAGGTGATGCAGCCAGTACCTGTCCGACACCCTCACTGTCCCCAAGTACTGGGAGGAGCGTGGCAGGAGAACTGGATGGCTGGGGACAGGGCTCAAGGGCCCCCTCTGCTGGTCAGAGGGCATCTGGGGGTGCTAAGCTGGCACCTTGGCCACCCGCTGGGTGGGCAGCCACGATGGAGGGGCTAGAAGGTCAGGGCCTCACTGCAGGCTGCGACAGTCCACGGCTCCAGGAAGGGGCTTACATGAAAGTCTCTGGGTGGGAGGGTGAGAAGCAGGAAACCCACTCTAAGGTATTGGGTGAGAACTTTCTCGAAGCACAGTGGCCTGCCCAGGCAACGGGATGAGTTTTTAATTTGAGGCAAAGTCAGTCCACAATACAAAAGTCTAAAAATCAGACCCACTTTTCCCACCTGGCACCCAGGGGTTGGGGGGGTGGGGACAGTTGGGGGCTTCCTTTGCAGGCAGGAGACGGGGAGGAGCAGAGGAAGGCCAGAGAAGAGGGAGAGGGAACCAGGCCCTGGAGCCCCCGCTGGAGGGAGCCTGCTGCCCCTGCCCCTCTCTGGGAGCTGCCTGCCCCAGCGGCAGGCCCGCGCTGTGCGGGCCAGTGTGTTGCCAGCCCGCCCGGGTGTCCAGCCCTTGCAGGGTCAGGCACCAGCTCCATCACTTCTCCTTCTTCTCCAGCCCCTTCGATGTGGTCGCCTCTATTCCCTCTCTGGTTTCTGTCACTGCTGCTGGATCCTTAGGATTTGACTCCTCATAACTGACCAGAAAAACAAGACATAACAAGGACGACACATTTAGAGGAGGAAGGGCAGAATCTCTGTGCCCACCTCCCACCACTGCAGGAAAACCCTGGGCACACATATCCTTGGCCCAGCACGCTCCAGGACTTGGCCCGCCCTGCCGTGCGCCCTCCTCAGGCTGGCTGCCGGGTTCCACTTTCTCTGTGCCTGGTGGTGCCAAGGGCAGTGGCAAGTGGAGGAGAGGTTGGGCTTGTGCAGACCCATTTTAAGCTTCCTGGACCTTCCACTGGGGAAAGAGTGGGGAAAAATAGGGGCAGCCAGGATGAGGCTACAGGACGAAGGGCTGCCTCCCGGGGCACATGACAGGAGTCAAGAAGCTTAGCCCCAGGGGCGTGGGCGGGCGGGCAGGGGGCTGCTCTACTGACAAGTGGCAAGGTGCCACTCTTGCAGGCAGGCGCCCTGGCTTAGCTCTTTCTTTGGGCTCCACTTACTGAGCAAGTGAGTTCATGCCAAGGACAATGTTCACATTTCCTTACCACATCATACCTGAGGCAGGTATGTGCCCACTTCTATATGAACAAAGAGAGGTTCCGAAAGGGGAAAGTGAAGGTTATACACTTGCCCCAGGTTATATATATATACAGAGAGCGATAACAGTGTCCACTGCTGTGTGACCAGGGCTGCTGACTCCCAATCTCAGGTGAGTCCCACAGCACCAGTGAGGCCGCTGGGGTCCTGGGGCCCTGCTCCCCCACCCCTCGGCTGGGCGCTGTGACTGCCTGGTGGTGGTGGAGCTGCCTCTTGCTGCCTACCCCGGCAATGCTCCCTGCCCCATACACTGGAGCAGGGGGGTCTGCCCTACCTTGGGCCCCGGGGCAGTGGGGGGAAGTGGGCAGGTGGGCACCCGGTGGGTATTACATGGCGCTGGGATTCTGCGGGCGCCGGCGGCGAGGGCCAGCTAGCTTCTGCTGCATGGAGTCCGCCAGGCTGGCTGGGGAGCCCGAGACTGTGGGGAAGTGGGTGAGCCTCGGGGTGTGAGGCAGGATTTCCGCTGAGGACTCGTAGCTGTGTGAGACAGACAGAGACAGAAAAAAAGAGATGGAGAGGAAAAGACTAACGAGGACAGAGATTTCTTTTCCAGGGAGCAGAAGTGGGTCTTACTTCTATCTATCTCTGCACTTTCGAACTCTGTGGAAAGAAGTCAGTGTTACTTGGAGGATAAAAAAGAAAAGATGCACCTATACAGGGAGATACTGCAAAAGAACAAGGATGCCCTAGATGTATACATATGTGTCCCAGGTGGCGCTAGTGGTAAAGAACCTGCCTGCCAATGCAGGAGACATAAGTGACATACGTTCCATCTCTGGGGTGGGAAGATCCCTGGAGAAGGGAATGGCAACCCACTCCAGTAGTCTTGCCTGGAGAATCCCATGGTCAGAGAAGCCTGGCGGGCTACAGTCCATGGGGTCGCAAAGACACGGCTGAGAGACTGAGCACACACGCAGATGTTCTGCTGCTGTGGAAACATCTCTCAGACACACCCTGGTGTGAAAAATCAGGACGCAGAATGCTCCAAGAATGCCACCACCTGCATGAGAATGTGTATACACATACATGCTTTCAGGTGCAGAGATATCTCTGAATGTCCAGGGACAGAGTTGGCTTCGTGGGTGGCTGGGGTATGAGGGGGTTGGTTGTCCCACTCATGCTATGGAATTTTGAACTATGTCAATGTGTTATCATTTAAAAAGAAGTAAATGAATAAAAAAGGGATAGTGACACTAAAGCTAAAAGTAAAACCAAAGGTAAGATGGAGGATTAGGGAGAGAGATGGGCAGAAGAGAAGAGAGACTATTTGCTTCTTCACCTCAATCTAAAAACCTCCTGGGGGTGGGGGGCAGAAAAGTGGGGTACCCACGTGGGCAAACTTTTATAGAAACCAAGCACCAAGTGGGTGACGGCGGGCACCCAGTCCTGGCTGGGAAGGGCACCCCAAGTGGGCGCCAGGGGCTGAGACCGGCTGAGTGCGGAGGGTGAGGGTAGGGACCAAGCTCAGGGCTCAGGGCCCACTCCTGCCCCCAGACCTGCCACCTGCTTCACCCCCAGCCTTGCCTGAGTCCACAGGGCTTTGCCAGGTCAGGAGCCCTGGGCAGGAAGGCTGGGAGCCTGGGGCTCTGAGGCAGGGCAGGGAGGGCAGGGGCAGGTACGGGGGAGGGGTGAGTCACAGGCTCCCCCACAGGCAGCCAGGTGCGCAGAAAGCTCTGGCAGGCACTCGAGGGACAACCTGGAGGCCAGGCAGGTGGAGCTGATGGAAGGCCCCCGAGTGGGCAGCTTCAGCTGCAGCTGGCAGCTATTTCTGGGTCCCTGGCGGGTGGGGCTGGTGCTGCTGGGGTGGAGACACCTGTCGGAGTCACGCAGGCCTGGGGGTCAGGGTGGGGCTGATCACGGGTGTGGCAGGTGTGCGGAGGGCCACAGGGAAGGGGCATGTGTGTGACTAAGACAGAGAGAAAGCAGCTGGCTCTGGGTTACAGCCACAGCGGCAACTGGACATAGGCTGACGCTTGACTTCTCATCAAGCATTTCCATCACACTCGAGTCCCCTGTATCACTCACGTGTGGACACTGAGGCTGGGGGCAGGGAAAGACCTGCCTGAAGTCATATGGCGGCAGGGTCGGGATGGGAACCCAGGGCTCCCGACAGCGGGGCAGCCTGGGGTGGGGAGGCTACACCAGCCAGTCCCTTTCCGTGACTCAGCTGGCATCTGGTGTGGGGGCTGCCTCGAAAGCCCCAAGGCCGTTCCCACCCCTGGCTACTGGCCCACAGAAGGGTTCTGCTGGTGCCCATGGGCCTGGCACCCATGTGCTGATGCAAAGGGCAAGGCTGGTGGAGTGAACAGTGGGCCCCCGGAGGCATGTACCCACAGGCTCCGCCAGCAGCCTGCAGTGTTAGGCAGACCTCTGCTCCCCGCCCCCTCTTACCTGAACATTTCGGTCACTTCTCCCTTGGCCAGTGCCACAAGGACAGGAAAGCCGATACACGCAGGGACCAGGTACAGGAGGGCAGGCTGTGAGAGAACAAAGGCTGGTGAGGCAATGCTGGGCAGGGCACCCGCTCAGGGCCAGGCCCATCACCCCAACTCTGCTGGGTGTGACTCAGGGACAGGTTCACGAAGCAAGTCAGTGCCTGGGCCTACACTGGGGCTCCTGACTTCCCTGGGAGAAGAAGCAAGAAGCCCAAAGAAACTCAATTACGCAGGGCTTTCAGGGCACCCTGGAGTCTGGCTGGCAGCACCCCAACTGCCCAGGACACCAGGTTCCTGGTGAGCTGGTCCTACTCCCAGAGACCCTGACTGCCTAGGTCTGGGGCTGGACGTCTGCACTTTTAACAATGCTCCAGGAGATGCTGTTATAATGACAATTATGATGACATAGCTGCTATGGATGGAGCACCTGCTGTGGCCTGGGATCAAGGTCACCCAGCTGGTCAGGGCCCAGAGCCTGTGAGGAGACTCCTGGTAAAGCTGGGTTTGGAGGACAGGACAATTACACCAGCCGGCCTTGTTCCCGGAGCACCTACTGTTTGCATTGAACACAGGCTCTGGAGAGTACTTCAGTCCATCTCCATACCCCCTTGACCCTCCTCCTTGTGTAGAAGCAGAAGGCTCACGCTTTGGGAGTAGGGAGGGGGCAGCTCAGGCCTTGGAGAGCCTAAGTGGTAAACTGGGGGTTGAACTCGGGTACCCCAAAGCCATTTTTCTGCTCACAGTGTCTGAAAGCTGGTCCTTACGCTACTGCTCAGCCCTCCATGGCCCCTACTGTTCCCAGTGGCCTGACGTCCTCAGGAGATGTGACCCCTGCTTCTTTCTCCAACCTCACCCGCCCTGCCCTGCTCTGGCCATGTTGGTCTCGTTTCGGTCCTTTTCGTCACCTGCAGCCACAGGATCTTGGCACGTGCCATTTCTAGGATGCCCTTCCCATCTGTGCCTACTTTCCTTCTCCTTCAGACTTCAGCTCAGTAGTCACTTCTGTGGGGAAGCCTTTGCTTGCACTGAGTCAGGCCTCTTGATGCACACTCTCAGGCCCCCTGCAATTCTTCACGGCATTCTCCAGCAACTTGGAATGAAACATCCCTGGGCGGCTAGAGATTCCCTCCTGTTAGGCTGTTAACTCCACGAGGGCAGGCTCCACAGCTGTCTTCTTCACTGCTGTCTTCCTAGTACTCAGAAGAGGGCCTGGTAAATACTAAGCCAATGGCTCCCTCACAAAATTTAGAGGGTGTCCAGGAGATGACTCAGGTGAGGGTGAAGGAGACATCGTTCCTAAAGCCAAGCCTTGTTCTTAAATCCAGGCCAACCTGTGGCTAGAGGACAGGGCTCCACAGTCCCCGGAGGCTGAACATCAGGCCATTTTCGGACTCATGCCATGGATGGGCTGTGAACTACCCACTTCAAACAGATTATCCTTGAACCTAATTACACCCTGAGCATTTCGATCTGAGTTTTATAGATGATGCTACTGAGGTTCAGACAGAGGAAAATGACCTGCCTGCAGTCACACAGGGTGTGTAAGTGGCTGAGTTGGGATTTAAACTCGGGCAGCTGAGCTTCTTCCCCTGCATCAAGTCTTTGCTATGAGATTGGCTTTGGGCCAGGAACGACAGAAATCATGACAAAAGCCTGCATCAAGACTCAAGAGGGGCAGCCAAAACAGTACTCAGGGAAAAGTTTATAACTTTGAGTGCATTTATGAGAAAGACTAGAAATAAACAAAGTTTCAAATCAGGAAGCCCAAAGGAGGAGGAAAAGAATGGAGGCAAAGCAAAAATTAATGAAATAAAACAAATACAAACTTACTAAAATTTAATTTCTGAAAAGTAGAACACTTAAGAGATGACGAAATTGAGGATCAGAGGAGGAAAAAGGATCTGCCCTAAATCACACAGTTGGTCAGGATACAGACACGGATTCCTCTGTCACTAAGTCCGGTGTCTTTTCTTCATCAAGGCCAGGCTGGGCAAAATAGAGGGCTTCCTGGGAGGAAGGTGGGTAGATATTTGGCCCCACCAAGGTCTACCTCACTTAAGAGCCAACGGCAACTGAGGTGCTCCTTTGGGAAGAAGTGTTTGCTTAGAATCAGAGGGATACAAACCTATTCTTTTCTTTCCTCTCAGGCACCAGGGACCCTCTCCAAAGAAAATCAGTGTTAAGGAGAGGATGGGATGTACAGCTTGGGGCAGTGAGCTGGGGATCAGGACTCCTGGGTCTACATCGGGCCTCAGCTTTACCCTGTGACCACAGATAGGCCATTTTCCTATCTGGGCTCCTATCCATCTGTACAGTGAGGGCACCTGATCATATTAATGACCTTTCTTGGAGGTTGCTAGTCCTGGCTTGGAGTACATTTTTGATAGAGGTTAAAAAACATATAGGCAGAGGTGACCCCCTTGATAGGGAATTGCTGGCAGAGGGACTGCTTATGTCTTGGTGAGGGAGGAGGAGCTCAAAGAACAGGTTCTCCTTGTGTCCAGATCCCACCTCAAAGAAGATTTCCAGGGAGATACCCATGTGGATGATCAGGGAGAAGAGCCGGGCTGCTCCTAGGCAGTAGGGTCGGCTTGTGGTCAGGAGTCTAGGGCTCCAGCCAGGGCCCAGCCTGACTTGCTGTCACGCAGGGACGGCTCCTTTTCTCTCATGTCGAGGATCACCTCTCCCACCTCTGCCGCCAGCCTGTGTGAGAGCTCCCAGTGGCGCCTTCTCTGAGTCTAAGGCAGAAGGCAAGCCTGCCACCTGGCGGCCACCTAGGGGATAGCTCTGGGCTTGGAATCTGCTGGGGCTGACAGCTGGAGAAGCCACCTCCCAACAGGCGGCCCAAGTGCTCTGCGCCTTCCTTGCCAAGTGCATGTCCTTCTCAGCTTGCACAGCTCCTGAGGTCATCTGGAGCAGATGTGAATGAAAGGGGCTTCCTCACTGGTTCTTGGTTTCTCTACTGATGGGTACCGTGAACTTTCTTATAGTATTACTATCAATTTCACAGTGTCTCTAAGGACTCAATGAGTTAATGAGTGAAAGGGTTTAGCGCAGTGTCTGGCAAACTAACAGACTAACTGGGTCAGCAGCTTTTGTGATTAATTCAAAGGTGGCTTCTTTGTGGCCGGTGCCCAGGGAAGGGAGAAAGGGAGGAGGAAGGAGGGAGGATGGAGGGAGCTCAGCAATACCAACTGGGTCAGATGTGGCTCTGAGCACTTCACTTACATTAACTCATTTCACCCTCAAACAACCCCAAGGTGGCTACAATTATTTATCCTCATTTTCTGTTTTCATGAATCAATGAGGAATCCTAAGTGTAACTTCAGACAGTAGAGCCTGGATTCCCACCAGGGCTCTCTTAAGACTCCACTCCGCACAGCCTTTCCCATGACTGGGGGTTCATAACCTGGGCTTGGTCTTCATATGACACAGGCTTGAACCCTGGCTCCATCACACTTTCCATGGAGCACCTGAACTGCAGCTCCTCTTCTGTTCACAGAACCCTCACGAAGCACCAAGCAGAGCCTGGCACAAAGGAAGTGCTCTGATTTCCAGCAGAGAGCAACCCTGTCTGCCGGCTTTCCCCTCCCCAACTCCTCCTCTCCAGGCCACACTGACAGCTCCCAGCCTGGTCCAGCTGGCAGTTCAGCACCCATCTAGGAGAAGGCAGAGCCTGGCTGGCTTGGGGAGTGATGGGAGGGAGATCCTAACATCCTATCACTTGTCTGGGGAGCAGGCAATGGGCTGAGACTGCAACAAACACCCACCCGATTCCGTTCTGTCTGCCACCACTACTGAGGCTGAGAAGTCACAGCTGGGGCCACGCAACACTGATGTGGCCCAGGAGATGTGGGCAAAAATCTGCTGAGAGGGCTCTGAGAATGGTTTTGCCTTCCTTGATGGTCACAGGCTCGGCTGGCATCCTTCCTCCTCCCCCTTCTCACCACTAGCATGCATGTGCTACCTGAAGCCAGGCTGTCATCTTGCAATAACTATGGGTGAAAGTTCAAGAGAATGACGGACACGCCTGCTCTGCACCACTGGATCGCCTGCACATGTGACACGGGAGTCCTGGTCACCTGCAGTGAAAGCACTGCCTGTACACAGAGGGGTCGTGCTCACCTGGGCGTGCTTGAAGATGTGCATGATGAAGATGGTAAGGCCCAGGCCGAAGATGTAGGCCGCAAAGCTGGTGTAGAAGTAGGTGTGGGTGTTCTTCTTCAAGCTTCAGCAACGGCATGCGGAGACAGAGGAGCAGGGTGAGACACAAGCACAGCAGAGCCATATGCCCTCTTAGGAGAGGATCTGGGGAGACCCCGGAAGCTGTGTGGGGCTGAGGTTATGGGCTGGGGGGTGTGGAGATGGGTGTGGACTCTGGTTCTGCCCCAGCTAAGCGTCTTTGGACCAGTCACTTTCCTTCCCTCAGCCTCAGTTTAATCATCTGCAAAATGGGAATGCCACGCGCCATCTCCCCAATGGTTGCTGAATATCAAATGTTATAACTGAGAACAGTGGCTATGAAGCTCAGGTCAGCATAAAAATCACCCGATGGCATGTTAAAAAATATAGAACTGTGTGGGAGTTCCCTGGCGGCCTAGTGGTTAGGATTCCAGGCTTTCAACGCCATGGCCTGGGTTCAACCCCTGGTCAGGGAACTGAGATCCCACAAACTGAGCAGTGTGGTCAAAAAAACAAAAACAAAAACCCCGAAAGACCGAACAGAGTGCTAGGCCTAGTTCCCAGGGAGTCTGATCTAACAGGTATGGGGATCTGCATTTTGGTATTTGTGTGTGTGTGTGTGTTTTATATAACTTTATTTTTGGCTTTTAAAAAATATGTAGTTGATTTATAATATCATGTTAGTTTCAGGTGTGTAACACTGTGATTCAGATATACATATATTCTTCAGATTCTCTTCCCTTATAGGTGATTACAAAGTATTAAGTACAGTTTCTTGTGCTAAAGAGTAGGTCCTTGCTGGTTTGGGGCTCATGTTTTGAGGAACACAGATCAGAAACTGTAAAGCTAAGTTCTTACTTTTAAGTGCAGTGGAGCTAATAGTTCAGTAACCCATCAGGGATACTAAGAAGCTGCTGATTACAAGGATAAAATGCCAGTGGCTTCCTGGGTAATTCACTGGAGATCAGCTTCAGAAGAGCTGACCCACAAGCATCCTGGCATTGCCATCACTTGATGCCCTCTCACAATGCCAGCTCAGGACCTTTGTGCGTGTCCAGCAACATCTGTGGAATGAAGGAGGACTGACTCCCTACCCTTTGCCCTTGTGGCTTCTGAGCTGGGAGCCGCAGTCCACTGAGAACAGTCCTGCTGTGCAGCCCAGAGTGCAAGAGGGAACGGTGCACAGATTCTGGAACAAGCTCCCAAGGACCTGCAGGACAAGGATTCTTCCTCGGAGGGTGCTGCCAGCTGAACCTGGTTCTCTAGCAAATGGTCTGGAGGCTCCTACAGGTTTCTCTTTGTATGACCTCTGAAAACCGAGCAGTAGAGCAGCCAGCACAGATGTGTTTCTACTTAGAGACCAGCGAGGTCTCTTCCAAAGGCTCCACAGTGGCCCTACCCAAACAACGCAGAGCGACGTGAGCAGGGGAAAAGTTCAGTTCTGCCTGCAGCCTGGATTTCCATGATGCTGGCAATGGGTTTCTCACTACCACTTTCAACATTATTACTGTTTTTGCAACTACTGGACATAAGGAGATTAAGAAATAGTCCATAAACCAGCTCAAAATTAAGCATATACATGCAGAAAGCCCTCCTCTAGGAAGACTGAGCGCCACCTACTGGTGGCAGGCCCAGCTTTGCCCAGGTGCATTCACCCACCTGAAAAGGTGTGACCTTTTCTGAGTTTCAAGTGGTGGCTCAGCTTGGCCCCCTTCCCTCTCCCTTGTGCTCACTTTCTACAAGGGACTGAAGAATGTTTGAGGAAGGAGAGGATGGGGAGCAGCGAGAGAAGCTGGGATATGGTGACCTGACCCGTGGCTTATGATAAAAGTTGGTGGCAATGAGGACTGCACCTGCTGCTGGATGTCCTGGGAGCCACCGAGGCCAGCCTGTCTCAGCACTCCCTCCACACTGTCCCCGTCAGCCCCAGGCAGGAGCGACCACTAACTTCAGGATGAGAAACCTTGCCTGGGAAGGTCAGTTTCCTTGCCAAGACCACTCAGAGAAAGCACTCTGGGTGCCACTAGGACCTTCTGGGATTCCATCTCAGCCTATGAGTCACACCTTCCCCACCCTCTCCAGGCTCTGGGCACTTAGAACCTCAGAATGTACAACGCAGATAAAATCAGAATTGTTCTGGCTGCTGTTGGGTGGAGGGTCTGGGACCTGAGTTACCCTCTGGGCTCCTCCAAACTGAGGAACCCCAGAGAACCTCCTGCCTGTGAGGGGAGGGCCTCACTTGTGAAACCTGAGGACTACGGTTCCTAAGTGGCTTACCTAATGTCGAACCGCAGCAGCAAGGCAATGAAGATTCCTGCGGGGAGAAAACCAGGGTTAGATGGAGGTAGGGAAGAAGCATACAACTGACAACTGGGTCCCCAGCCACAGAGCAATCATCAGGGGACAGGGGTGGCTGAGACTGCCAACTGCCGGCAGAAATCATTTCTCTACCTTCAGTCCCCCTGGAACGATGGGGGACACTCACTGGAAGAGGGACTAAGTGGCTGGACTGTCCCAGGTAGACCGCTTTGGCCTGGGACCACACCGACTAGCACCTCACAGCACCATTCGCTGTACCACCCTGGGCCCAACCTAACACTTACAGGATGCCTAAACACTAGGTGCTGTAGGCAATACAGTGGGAAGCAAAACCCGGGGGCAGGGCATGCTGATCAAATATAACAAAGACCAGTGTGAGACTGTAACTGTGAAAGGGTGCTCCTGTGTCATGGGAAGGTCTATCATGGGATGAGACCCAGGCTGGGGGTGGTGGGTGGGGAGGAAAGAGGGCTTTTTTGAGGAAGTGACACTTGCCAGGGAGAGGGAAGAGCATGTGCAAAGGTCTTGAGGAAACAGGGCTCAGGAGGCGTGGCAGGGCAGGCTGCAGCCCAGAGTAGGAGATGCTGGGGGCTGATCTGCCATGCAGGGCCCCGTGGGGGTGAGAGGAGTTGGGTCTTTATTCTAGGAGTAAGGGGACACTCTTGGAAGTGTTCTAAGTGGGAGAATAACATAAAAGATTTTGAAAAAACCCCTGTGGCAGTGGTTTGGTTGGTGGGAGAGCGCAGAAGCAGACACCAGGAGGCTCTGCAGGAGCTCAGGTGGGGACGGTGAACTCTGTCCACCCACTGCACTCCTATTTGCACTCTGAAATCTGGCCCATTCACCCCCAGAAACCTGAGTCCCTGAGACACAGCCACCCAGTCCAGCCTCTGTATGTTGCACACACACGGCCGTCCCTGTTCTGTCCTTGACTTGTCTTTGGACTCGGACACAGCAGGGCTGAACCTCATTTGGTTGAGAGCAAGCTCTTAGGAACCAAACATTCTGTGCTGATTAGAAGCACTGACTGGCAACATGTGATTCCTTTCAAAGAAGAAAATGATTCAGTCCCCAGTGAAGACTCTACAGTTGGGAGCTGGTGGGTGGTGAGAACAGACAAATGCTGCCTTTCTGGAAACAAAACTAGGAATTCAGTGGCCCCTGGCAGCTGAATTCTGCAACTGCTCTTTAACTAATCCGCAGGCCAGAGCTCCCAAGAGCTTCTACTCATAATACTGCACTTGACCTTAAAATAACACCCCACAACCTATTCTTCCTTCAAGATTATCCCTGAGGCTCTGTGAGGATGCAATAACTCAGACCAACTGTGACTGCTGGAAGACTTCCGATACATACAGGGATTTGTGAATACGCAGAGATGTCCTGTGCAGGCCTGGAGCCCAGAAGCACTCAACAAGGACACTTGGGGAAGTCTGCGGGTGCCTGGGACAGACCCTGCTCTGCAGGGCGAACCAAATCCATTTCTTCATCCCTGATGGAGCTTCTTCCCTGCCTCCCAGCACCACGCACTATGGGAACACCTGGATTCAAGACCACGACCCTAGGCAAGTCTCTCTTAACCTGCTTCCTCACCAGCAAAATGGAAACACTCTCTACCTCATCAGGCTGCTAAAGGTAGCAAAGATAATACATAAAAAAACACTGAGCATATTGCTTGGCAAACAACAGGTGCTTGACAAATGATGGCTCCAGGATTATGATCTTACTCTTGTTACTATCATAAAAGCAGTTTTGACAATATCACCTTTCTTTGCAGTCAGATAGACCTGGTCTGAGTCCTGGCCCTCTTGCTGGCTAGTGTGTGAATTGACGATAAGTCCCTTCACTGCTGAGCCTCAGTTCGCTCACTGGTATGAGAGACAAAGCCTCTGCTTCACCACCATACGTATCACAAAAGGAAAGTGTCACACAGAAGTGCCTGTTCACTCTCGCTCACTAGCAGGATGGCTATTACTTCCTACACTGGAAAACAAACTGGCTTTTAATTTGTTCCAAGCTTTCTTCTTTTAAGCAAACACCAGGGGTGCTTCTAACCCTGACTCCGAGCCTCTGTGACTAGGGAATCAGAATGCCCTTTGGGTGTGCAGCATCCCTGTCACCGGGCCTAGGTCTTGCAGGCACACAGTGTCCACGTCTCAGCCATTTTAGCTGCCCTGAGAGAGGCAGCTCAGCTTTGCCCAGAGTTTCTTGACTGGCAGTTTGGGCTGCAGGCCCCCAGGATGTGTGCCCATGCTCGGGCCCATACACAGGGGTACCTGTGCCCATGTCCACAGCTGTGCTGACTAACACCCACACATATAATGGACTCAGAGGCCAGGTCGTGTGGTCAAGCAGGTGCAGGCCACTGGTCCCTCTGCTAAAACTGCAGACACAGGAGCACAGCTGTGTGCCCCGTGTCCACACACAGTGCATGCTTTCCCTGGTGTCCTCCCAGCACCGGGGAAGGGGGGCCAAGGAGACTGTGGCAGTTCTAGCACACCTGTGTCACCTGTAAACACTGTGTGTGTACGTGCAAGTGTGAGGGGGTCAGATTCCTTTAACACTGTCATCGAATGTGCTTGTATTTCAGTCTGTCATATACATTTATTTCTGCAGCTCTCGAGTAATGTCTGTTCACCCCACCAGAAGCTCCATGAGGGCAGTCTTGCTCACCACCGTCCCTCCGAGGTTCAGCCCACACTGGGCTGAGGTGGACCCCCTTCACCAAACCCCGGGCAGGTGGTGACGGGCGAATCGCACAGCCTAACCCTTCCTCCTTCCCTCTCCTGGTGAGTGAGGCTGTGTCTCACAGGACGACTGCTTCTCCATGGAATCCCCCTCCACTTTGGCCCCCGCCCTGGCCCCATCACCTGGAATGACGATGTCTCCGAGTCCCAGCATGGCAAAGTTGTCCGCTTCCAGGCCCTTCTCCAGCAGGTCCTGGGGAAATACCACTGGAGGGGGAGGCAGGGATGTGAGGAGTTGGTGAGAGCCCAGCTTATGCACTCCTAGCCTCCGCCTCTGGTGTATGGAACTCACACACTTGCACTGCTGGGTGGGAAGATGGGAATGGGGAGTCAAGAGAATGCTGATGGGCTGAAGGGCGGTGTGTCCATCTGGAATCACAGCTGGTTAGAGTAGTTAAGAATCTAGAATCATCTAGGCTAAAGGTTTAATGCCGTTACTGAGCTGTAACTTACATGTCATACAATTTCAATGCCTTTTAATAGCCAGGACTCTTTGGTTAAATGGGGCTGACCCCAAAGCCTAGCATATAAAAGATGAAAGGGCCCACATGGTGCTGGCATCTAATAGGCTTTCCGTCTCACCACAGTTGTGGACAGACCCTCGTTTTGAAGAAGGAAGAGCTTGGGCCACATGCTTTGTGCATCTGTTGATGAGGAGGAGGCTACATACCTACAAATCCCTTGCTTACAGCCCCTTACTCAGAAATCCTGCTGGCCAACTTGTTTGGAGAAATACAGATTGAGGAAAATGCCTCCCTGTATGTCCAGTTATGGCAAGGGGCAGCTGTAACTGGATTTCATCCAGATAGCCTTGGAGCAAAAGTTCACCAGTTATGGTGTGGGCTTCAGGGTCAGACTGTATGGGTCTGAATCCTGGCTCTGCTGTGTGACTTTGCACAGTTTACTTAACTACTCTGGGCCTTAACTGTCTCACCTGTAAAATGGGTATAACAACCAAACTGACCCCATAGACTTGTGGTGAAGATTAGGTTATTTGAACACACTATTAACTTTAACTGTTACGTCTTTACTAACCCAGTCCTGATTCTGTGTGAGGCTGTCCTCCCAGGTGATGAATCAAGTGTGGCACAAGGCTAAGACAGTCAGGACAATCTGGTCACCGAATTCCTGACTTCCCTTCAGCTAGGGGTGGTCATGTGACCCAGCTCTGGCCAAAGGCATATAAACAGAGGTAAGATGGGTGGGCTCTGGGCCAAGATGGTGCTTCCCCAATGAATCATACAGAGGTCCTTCCCTGTCCACTTTTTCCTGCCTTGAATAGTCACAGTGATTTACAGCTCTCCTTGTCTGATCCTCCTAAACCTGCCATCATTCAATCCTGAGTGGCAGATCTAGAAACCAGGGCCCACAGAGGTGAGGCCTCCCCACTCAGGCCACACAGCCAGCACATATCAGATCTGGGATCCAAATCCAGGCTTTCTGACTTCACTAACTGTCCACTTAACACTCTGTTGGACTACTCCTAGCAGCAGAGGGCAACAAGCTTTCTCCCCAAGACAAAAACCCCAATTCCAAACACCAGAAACCAGAGGGGACTGTCATTTCCCTGTCCAGAGTCTTCCAACGGCTCATCCACTGCCCACTGGGCAGCAGCTGGGCTCCCTGACATGCCATCTTCGGCTTCCTCAAATCTGGCCTCTTTGCTGCTGCTCCCCTGAAGTCACCATACTCCCTCTCCGATTCTCTGCTCCCTCCATGCATTCTTCTGCTTGCAGCCCTGGCCTGAAGCTGTTCTCTCTTTCAAATGCCCCTACTGCTCCTTCATGCTTGTGAAACACATATTCATTCTTTGTAACCCAGGAAAGCTTTCTTGACCCGTTGGCTGGGTTCATCCATCACAGCGTGTGAGGCATAGTTGCTCTTCGGGCTTGGCCAGCATCTGTTCTCTTGCTCTGCACGACTGCCCTCCCCTCACACCCGTGGTTCTGGAAGGCTGCCAACTCAAAACACTGCCCCCAAGCACTGGAGAAGGCGGTGACCCTGTCCTCTGTACCACTCCCAGTGGCAGAGCCTAGTTCCTGGGCCTGGAGAGGCCCCATGGGTTTATCCAAGCCATAGCTGGGAGGAACTTTCCTCTGGAGTCACTGAGCCGCGACCCTGCACAGCATCTAGGAGCAGCCGTGTGACCAGGAGCCTCTCTCCGGCTCACGGAGGGGACCCATGTGCAGCTGTGGAGTCAGACCACGAGGAGTGCAACTGTTGCTTGGCTCTCAGGACAGGCTCCACCCTGACTGCCCAACAGGATCCCCCTTCCACCTTCCATCATGCCCGATGGATTCCGTCCTCCTCTTTGGGTCTCACGACGCCAGGGAGTGATTCTTGATCAGTCTAAGGCTTAAACTCCAAGTTCATTATACTTTTCTCAACCCCCCCTGATGAGGAACAATGAACTTGGGCCTGTGACCCAATTCTGGCCTGTGAAATATGAGAGAGGCTGCAGGGAGATTCAGGGAAAAACATCCCTATCTGATGAAAGGGAGACATAAAGTTCCCCTTTTCTGTCCCTGAATTTGCTGAGAATGGTGGGGTGGAGGGCTGAGGTGACCCTGGCTCTTGGCGATGCCACTGATGGTCATAAACCCAACTCTACATGCTCCGCCACCGGGCTTGTTGCGTGTGAAATGACAACATTTCCACATTACAGATGTCTGGAGGTGAGGTTTCTAATATTTATAACAATGGATACACTGAAGAACACAACCAGGGAAGTGTGAGAGGAGTGGGGCAGACAACACCTGCTGGTTATGTGTTACAGGGAGCCAGGGAGGGGGCTCCAGGTCTTGGTGTGGGGGTGTCCTCCTCTGGAGGCCCCTGCCTGCCCTGCCACAGGCTGTTTCAGACACCGCTCTCTATGACCAGGTGGCCAGAGGACAGCTGTGTGGGAACAGTCGACAAATCAAAGAGGAGAAGGAAACCAGGCCCTAGACACCGGGGAACTTGGAGAAGAACAGCTGAGGGAGGGTGCTAACTGAGTCAGGGACCATGCGGGAATGGGCGACCAGGGTGGGGGCAGACGGGCTCCCCGTGGTGGGGTAGTCACTTACATTTTATTGGTGCCTCAAAGGACTTGGCCACTGTCACCATCACATTGGTGCCAAATACCTAAAAGGAGAAGAGAGGAGTCTGGAGGGAAGTGCAGGCAGATGGGAAGGAGTGGCCGTGTGTGGCTTCTCAACGAGGGGCTGCCTGCAATGGGCAGGAGAGGGACAGGGAGCCAAGAAGGGCTCCAGAGCAGATGTAAAGTTGAGAGGCGGCGGCCACCGACATGGCCAAATGGACACTTCCTGGGGCTGCTTGTTTGGGCAGCAATGAGGGGCAATTCCAAGGAGTTAGGAAAGGATCTCTGATGCCCTGGCTGGGCTGTCAGGTCAGGGCTCTGTCTTTTCCGAGAGAGGAAGTCCTCCAGCACTACTCCATCAGGGCTGCCTCTCAAAGCGAGGGTGGCGGGTCCCTTAGCCCAGCGCAGTCTCTGTCCTCATGGACGTGTCTTGCTCAACAGTGTCCACTCATCTGCTTTAACCACCCCTGCCTCAGCTGTTCTGAGCCTCAACTCGCTTGCTGGAAAGACAAGGGATAAGCAATCCCCTGCTGGGCTCACTGTGAGGGAGACAGGGCGGCTGGAAGGCACAGGGCAAAGAAAGGTGAGCTTTCGGCAAGTGGGCATGGGACTCTGCTCTGTCATCGACTTCACAGCTGCGGGCACTGCCCCAGAAAGGACCTGATCTGGGGCCTTACTTGTAGGTCAAGTGGCTGCCCTCCACTGGACCTCCTGCGCATCCCTGCCCGACTCACCCAGAAGATATCGTAGATGAAGAGCCCACCCAGCAAGATGCAGCCAGTGCTGACGTTGTTCAGGTGCAGGAGTTCTACCCCGTTAAGGGAGAAGGCCAGGCCGAAGAGGTTGTTGGCAATCCAGTGCTGGGGGAAGGCGAGAGTGAGACCACCTCACCGGTTACCACCTTGTCCCTGCAGCGCTCCACCACCCCCCTGCAACTGCCTGGGCTCTGGCTACTCACCTTCCTCAGCAGGTACCAGACGCCAACGATGCTGCTCAGGCCCAGGCACACCAGGTCCTTGGTGTCAAACTCATAATTGATGATCTCTGGGCAGAGAGGCCGGGTAAGTCCACTCCCCGGGGCGGGGCTGCCCCTCCCACCTGTCAGCCCCTGGACGGAGGAGGGCATGGCTGTGGGCTCCGTCAGAGACCCACAGGATGGGGGTGCTCACTGGAGCCCTCCCCAACCCCAGACCCTCCAATTTCCTAGAGGAGGGAATGGAGGCCCAGAGACAACCCAGACCTGACGTGGGGTCAGTGGGAGGTGGTCCATGGTGCTGGAAGCCCATGCTCTGCACTAGCAGCTGGGCGACCTCAGGGGAGGCAGCTCCCTCTCCGAGTTTGTTTCTTCATCTGTAACAAGGGGATCACAGGGCTTCCCTCATGGTCCCCAGGGGTTAAGACTCCACCCTTCCATTGCAGGGCGCGTGGGCTTGATCCCTGGTTGGGGAAGTTCAATATGCTAAGAGGTGTGACCAAAAAAATTATCACAAAACAAAAAAATGGGGGTCACAGCACCTCCTTGATAGGACTGCCATGGGGAGCAAGTGAGGTGGTCCTTACAAAGCACTCAGCACAGAGCTGGCATACAGTGGGTGCTCAACTAATGCTGACTGCACTGAGCCCAAGGCCCTTGCAAGGTCCCAGTTCATTCAGGAATCTTTCTACTCTGCCGCCAAAGGCGTCAAGAAGGTTGCTGGTAGCCCAGTGTCACCAGTAGAGGAGGAAGCAGGTGAGAGAGGGAGGCCTGGAGAAGTGGCAGGTGGGAGGCCCTGAGGCTGTGCTGTTGGGGAGCCTGTGGCAGACACCCTGATGTTAGACCCCTTCTCCATCACCTCCGAGTGTCCTAATGAGGAAGCCCAGAGAGGTGGTGGAGCGTGCCCAGGGTCACGGAGCATAGGCTTTCCTTTCAGATTCCAGACTGCAGTCAACTGCTAGTTGGCCCCAACCATTGTTCTCCTCTCTGTGGTAACAATACCCTGATGATTTTCAACTGGAAATGAGGCTGCCTAGCTCTCAGCCACATTTTCCAGCTTCCCTTGCAGCTAAATCGGCCTGCAGAACAGTTGCCTCTATGTCCTTTGAGACAGCCTGCGAGGCAATGGTATGCTACCCTGGACCCACTGACCCGAGTGCGGCAGAGCACAAGACGGGTGAAAACCCCCACGTCACTGCCTGGACACAGATGCCTACAGATGCACAAAGGAATCATACAAAATTGCTGCTCTCAGGGACAAGGCAGAATGTGCTGGGCACATCCCCAACAAGTGTGACATTCACAAGCTCAGACATGTACACAAGAGGGCAACACCTTCCACCTGTCCAAGCTGTTGATAATCCTGTTACAGCAGTTGAACCCACACCCTAACTAACTCACAGGACCCAGGCTTTCCCCAATTTCCTGTGGCTTTCATTTTTTTCAAGAGCCGTGGAACCCCCTTTTCAAATCTTAGCTAGGGAAGTAATCACACTAAAAACAGACATGATAAAAATAGCTTCAGGAGCCAACTGTTTACCGTTTACTGAGCCAGGCCCTGTGCTGAATGCTTTCCACTCATCACTTACTCACAGTCCTAACAACATGCTTATAAGGGAGGTACTACATTATGATGTGCATTTTACAGATGAAAAAACAAAACAAAACCAAAAAAGCCCAACAAAACCACCCAAAGCTTAGAGAGAGAACAGTGTGCACCCAGCAGCAGAGTGGGGATGACATCCCAGAGCCCACCTTGCCCATCACTTGCTGTACTGGGGAATCCCAGTATCAGAGAGACAAAGGGGAGGGGAGGAGTTTGGGAAGACACCCAAGGTACGGCCAAGGCAGGGGATGGCGGCAGCACTGACCTTCCTTGTTCTCCCCAGAGCCCTGTGTGAACAGTAGCTGGTATTGTCGGTTTGGGAAGTTGGCTGGAAAAAACTTATTCATGAAAGGGCTGAAAGGAAAGACAAAGCAGGTTGGCAAACAGAGCCCCTGTGGGGGTCCCACAATCCCAGACATCTGTTTACAAGCTGTTATCTCCCAACAACCTCACAGCTGCCCTGAGAGGTAGGTGTTATTGTGCCCATTGTAGAGATGTGAAAACAGAGGCCCTCAGAGGGCAAGTGACTGCCCAGGGTTACATGGGAAGTCAGTATCTTGAGCTGAGATCTGAACCTAGGTCTCTATGATTCCGGCTTCCATGCAGCCTCTTAGTTATCATCCAAGAAACACAAAAGAGGCAGACTTTCACATAAAACAGTTTTTAGGAGAGCAATGGGTTCCAAAATCTGGTTTATCCACAATCTGTAAGAGAGTCCCCTGTCAAAAATGCATATTCTGTCTTAAGCCTGCATAGGGTAAGTCCTTACTCTTCAAGGAGACCCACTGAGTCCAGGCAGACAGCAGAGCTGAATTAAGGGGCCGACTAGTAGCCCGATGAGATCTGACTCCTTAAGAATGAGAATGCCTGGGTTCATGTTGCTGAGGAGGATGGAAGGCCAGAAGCTGAGAGAGGCCCATTAACCGCAAGTGGCCCCAGATAAACCACATCCTCCTTGCCAGCTCCTTGCCCAGCCAGAGGCAATGGACCCGGCCTGGTCCACAGTAAAGCCATGATGCACAAACTGTGGGCAGACTCATAAGGGAAATGAGATGCGTAGCCCTCTCTCCTGGGCTCAAGGCAGAGAGGTAGATGGTGAGGTGGCGTGAGTTTTGTTGTTGATTCTAGAAGCAAAAAGGTAAACCCTCTGTCCCAATTTCTCAGAAGTCTGTTTATTTCAAACACAATCCAGGTGTGTGCAGTGTGACAAATCAAAGCTGCAGTGTTCCTTTGCATTCTGAGGCTACTGGAGACTTCCCATTAAAATGGCTATCTAATTACTCTTTCACAGGTAGCCTCTTGTGTGTGTCCTTGGAACTCAGTGACTCTGAGACCCTTTGGACTGTTGCCCCAGGCTCCCCTACCCATGGGATTTTTCAGGCAAGAATACTGGAGTGGGTTGCCACTTCCTTCCCCAGGGGATCTTCTTGACTCAGGGATCAACCCCCCCACCCCCCAAAAAAACCCTTGTTAAGTGTCTGAAACTACCTTAATATGTTTTTTAAACCCTGCAAAAATCTAGCACACTTAAGCAGTTAGTAGACCCGAAGCAAGCCTGAGTTGACTAGGAAGTATACTGTATTCTTTTTGAGGGGATTTGTTTTGACCATTTCCTTTAATTATCAGTTTCCCAGAACACTTAGAGATGTTGGCAAGCAGCAATTCCTTCTAGATGATTCCTTAACTATTATGTAAACTGTGCCAACACAGATAAAGCGGAAACAGTATAAGCTGAATTACCGTCACCTCTTACTTGAGTAATAACCATGGTGTCAGCTTCATAATACAAATAAAAGGAATTAAACATGGGAAGAAAAAAGAATGCATATTCCTGGATTCCCTTCCAGATCTATTAAGTCAGATGACCTGATGGTCACCCCACTCCACGATTTTCCAGGCCTGGGATTTTTACAAACTCGGCTGGACTTGATGAGTGAGATGAATCACAGCCCCTTGGGCGAGAGCGGGCTCACATTCACTCCTTCCACAGGGCCTGTTTGTGGCTCAGGATGGGCTTGGCCTCATCTCTGGAAGCATTCTGATTACTCAGCATGGTCTACTTCCTGGCCTGGCAGGGAACAGAGACTTTCTTTTCTGGATCACCTTCGGAGCAGGAACAGAAAACCAGGGCTTTTGGCTTAGCCTGGATCTGGATACTAAGCAGTATCGTGGAGTAGACACAAACCGGGGTGGTCTAGCCCTGACACCTGCTCTGCCACGTGAGGCCCTGGGCTCACTTTAGTGGGTCAGTCTCTCTGCTGAGTGTGGGGATAATATCACCTGATTCAAAGAGCTGCTGTGAAAGTAGGGGAGAAGGAGACGGAGAAGTTTAGCTCAGCGCTAGATCCTCAACAGGGGTCATAAGAACTCAAAGTCTATCACTGTAGGTGGTTGAACTTGAAAGTACTCAGTAACACCAGATCAGACTGATGACTTATGAAGCAGGCAAATTCACAACGGTGCTCCCAGCTATAGGAAAATGGACCCAGGCCAAAGGGTACCCAGGGCACAGTAAAGGCAGGGAAAAGGGAGCTCTCTAAGACCCTGGAGCTTGGAGGAAGAAAATGTGGATGAAGAACTATCTCTGGGCCTTAGTTTCCACTTGACACACAGCCAATCCCTCCCCATCTACAGAGCTGTGGCATGAATGACAAGGCTTTGTGATTATGCAGACATGACTGATACAAGATGCATTTGGGAGCGGGTTTCCACAAACAGGCAGCAGCTGGGAGGGATGAGGCTGGAAGCCACTTTCAGCTCAGTTCGCTGAATCGTTTCAGGAGCATGAAGCCAGAGGGTGTGTGGAGAGGCAGAGAGAAGGCCTGAGGAGCTAAGCCCTTCACTCCAGCCTGGCGTGCACCTCAGGAGCCCAACCAGCAGAGGGCAAGGGGTTGAGAGCATGGATTCTGGAGCCAGGTTTCCTGGATTCAAATCCTGGCCCTGCCATTGAGCTGTGTGACCTTGGCAAAGTTACTTAGCTGATCCCTGCAACTGTCTCCTCATTTGGAACACTGTAACAATACCTTTCTCATTGGATCATTAAGAGGATTACATGAATGCCTGGCACCCTATAAGCTTAACTGCAGCTTCAACTCCAAGTATGAAGTCTCCAGACAGATGTCTTTGTTATCCCAAGAAGAGGGGCTGCTGGATAACACAGGGCAAGAGACAAGCAACCTGGCTGGTGTGAGCCTGCCTTAAGGGCAGGGATCCTGAAAGGCAGCTGGTAAATGCTTGCTGAACACCTCTGAATGCGGGTTTCTGTAGAAGGCAGAGACTCACTCCTTCCAGCCCTCGAAGGCTCATGTCAAGCCTAAAGGTCACTGCTTTCTGCTGGGAAACCACATCCTACTGCCCTTCTCCCCTGGGGGTGAAGGCAAAGGGCAAACTGCTAAGTGGCCTCTTCCTCCTGGGGTTGCAGATCGTGGTCTTAAGGACCTTTCCCTCTAAAGGTCAGCTGGGTGGGATATGAGCTCAGAGGTGGTAAAAATAAGCTGCACAGTTCCCTTGGCAGGAAGGGTACTGGCACAGGCTTGAGTCTTGGGGGCTGTAGAGGGTGAAGGCAGGCTGTGGATCCTCGCTTCACTGTGACACCCCAGGCTGTGGTTCCTTCCCTGGGAGGCTCACGGCAGTTGGGGAAGTGGAAGGAATCCCACAAACGCCACCGCCTGGACTCCGTGGCTTGGTGCTCAGCCCCTACAGCCTCTCAGCAGACAGATCCCTCCTCTGCCGGTCATCAGGAAACCACAGGCCCATCAGAGAGAGCGTGCCCAGGCCCCGTCTTTAAGCTTTCTCTTCTCCTTCATTTTTGCCAAAACTACAAAAAATACCTGGTCGCAGTTAGACCGTGCTCAAAACTACTCTGCTCCTGAAAGCTGTGATGCTCTCCCAGCCTCAGTTTTCCTGTCTTGAACCTGCAGTCCTTGTTTGGATCCTGAGGAAGGTCTGACTATGTCTGGGGATACATACAAACAACCAACCAAAATTGTAACGATACTGTAGACTTCTCGGAGAAAATACTTAAGAAAACTCCATTCAAAGGCAGGTAAATTTAATTCTTAGATCAACTATCTAAATAGCATGATTAAATTATGCCCTCCCCCTTTTCTGCGAAAATTATTTTTATCTGATTCAGTTCTTTGCCCTGTACATTTTATAGTAAGGCTTTCTTTCATCCCATTCATCCCAGGTTTTCAGTCTGTATCAATTTCTTTTTCAGAGGATAGCTTGGACCCCCTTATGCCCACGGCCAGTCATCATTTTCACAAGGCCTCATCTTCCCAAGTCACACTGTGTGCTCTAAATCGTCTCAAGAAAATGAGTCACTGACAGATTTTACCACGTGCAGTTGTAGTGGCCTTAGTTCTATTTTCTGCTGGTAATTTCTATCAATAAAAATTATGAATTGGTTAAAAGATAGACAACTCTTTCTTGGTTAATCCATGAGAAATTTTGGACAATGTTTCTCGGTTACTGTCCTAAAAGGAAAATAGAAAGATCTAGGGCGTCAAAATGACACAGGTTCAAAATACCCTACTGGGCAGGTGGCTGGTGATCTCGCTTGTAGGGCTGTTGAGATAAAGTGAAATACTCAACTCCTCAGCACCTGGTCAAACAAAATATATTTGGTTCTTAAATGCTAAGGCAGTGGTTGGGCTGTGGTAAGGACTCTCACAGATGCTGAGGGGGTGGGATGCGCTAGAACTGGGGGGCTCCTAACCAGCACGGGATTCCCTGGTAAGTCAGTTGGTAAAGAATCCGCCTGCAATGCAGCAGACCCTGGTCCGATTCCTGGGTTGGGAAGATCTGGAGAAGGGATAGGCTACCCACTGCAGTATTCTTGGGCTTCCCTGGTGCTCAGACAGTAAAGAATCAACCTGCAATGAGGGATCAAACCTGGGTTCGATCCCTGGGTTGGGAAGATCCTCTGGAGGAGGGCACAGCAACCCATTCCAGTATTCTTTCCTGGAGAATCCCCATGGACAGAGAAGCCTGGTGGGCTACAGTCAGGGGTTGCAGAGTTGGACACAACTGAGTTACTGGCACAACCAGCATGGGAAATGACCTCCCTTCACCTTATCTATCAGGAGAGGAAGGGTGACTAGGTCTGCCACTATCTTGCTGGGCTCATCAGTCAGGATCTCCAGAAGGATTGGGGGGTGGGGGGTGGGGTGGTGGAATGTGGCCCTAGAACACAGCCTTGTGGGTGAAGTTGAAGACAACACTGACCTCAGTCCCATGTGGCTGTGTGACTCGAGCCAGTTGCTCTCACCCTTGGTGGGCTCTGGACATACCCCCTTGCTCTGGGCATATCACAGACATGCTCACTTGAATGTTCCCATGCCCCTCCAAGGAGCTACTCCCCGTATCTCCATTTTATAGGTGAAGAAACTGATGCTCAGAGAGCTTGAGTAACTTGAGCCTTGGTTCCAGGTCTGACTGCCCACATTCTTGACTCCCAGGTCCTGCCTCGAGGAACCAGGCCAAACTCCCCCAACTCCCAGGGCTTCCCTGAGGATCCCGCTCTTCCTCTCTGACTGCTCTGGGAAGGTCCTGACTGCACCTACAATGTGCACAGACCTTCTGGCTCCTGGCCTGGCCTCTCCCTCCTACATCCTCATTCGGGTTTCCTACACCCTCATCCGGGTTTCCTACCCTTCAGGGCTGCGTTCAAGTTGCATTCCTGCCTTCCGGGAACTTTTCCTGGTCTGCTGACCACCTCCGTGGTTGTCAGCCTGAGGCTGTACCTCTTCAAGGGGCCAGATGGAAGCAGGCTGGGGTGACTGCAGTCACAGCCAGGGGCTGGGCTGGGGGCACCACTCCCACTGGGTAGCGCCCCACCCGAGGACTCCTGGTTTGGTTCCTTCATCCCCACTGAACAGACATAGCACGTGACGATCTGAGCAGGGTGGCAGTGAGGAGGATGGGCTCTGCGGCCACAGAAACTCAGATTTGAATCTTTGCTCTGCTGCTTATCAGCTGTGTCATCCTAGCAAATTTCTTAACCTCTCTGAGCTTCAGTTTCTGAATGTGTCATAGGATTAAAAGCAACAGATTACAATGATAACAATGGCTAATAGCTACTGAACATACTGAGTGTCAGATACTGTCCTAAAAGTTTCTACATGACCGATGAGAAAGGTATGATCATTTTCCTTCACATTCAGGTGAGGAAATTGAGGACAGAGAGATTAAGTAACCTGCCCAAAGTCACAGGGCTATTAAGTGGCAGAGTCTGGATTCCAAGTCAGGTAGTCAAATTCCAGAGCCTGTGCTCCTAACTTCTCTCAATACTGCCTTGCTCTCTTAGGAGCTGAGACCACAAGAAGCCAGCTTAGCGCGTGCGCAGCAGCCACGACACACAGCAGGTGGCACCGGCATCACTCATCTCAGCACTGTGACAACTACCACATTACTGTTCACAGATAATTTCCCCAACAACCGTGGTGGCAAACACCCACCGGATAGTCTTATCCTTCCTTGGAAAGAAACCGTGGCCCAGAGAGGCTCTGGTTCTCATGTAGGGTCACCCACAGTATAACACAGGGGAAAAGTTCCCTTGGGTTTTTACAGCCAGGATTCAAACCTGGCTCTGAATGACGCCAAAGGTCACGTTCTCATCCAAGACCCTGTACTGGCTCTTGAGAAAGCTGCTTCAAAGGTCGCAGAGATGCCTTCTGACCTGATGGTGTGGGACAGGGCCAGGATTCCCAGCACGAAGAAATACATGGACAGCAAGAGGTTGATGTACTCCTGGGAGAATATCTGAGGCAGAGATACAAAGAGAAACAGGATGTCAGGGTTGTTGGAGGCTATGAGGAAACCAGACTCCCTGCTTTTCTTCTGGAGATGGTCTCCCCGCTCTGGAGTTGGGGAACAGTGTCAGGAAGAATCTCAAATGGTACTGGGAAGGGGGGGGCTTCTAGTTTCTCTGGCAACGGGAAAAAGGGAAGGACCCTCAAGCCCTCAGATAAGACTCCCCAAGTGGTCGCCAAGAGTCGGACACAACTGAGCGACTGAACTGAACTGACTGAAGAAGTCTGCAGGTCTGCCCTTGGTGGTTCCACTTGGAGACAGGCAACGGGGAGGGGGGGGCCTCGGGGGGTGGTGTGTGTGTGTCTGTGTGTGTGGCAGTCACAAGGGAGGGGAGCATGTTCAAAGTCCCAAGAGAGCCATCTGAACCCCAGAACAAACTCTTCCAAGCTTCCTCCTCTCTGCTCAAAAGCTGAGGGAGCCTGTGGGTGGCCACCCAGTTCTGAGTTACCTGCACCCTGCTCACTCTCCATCCTCTCCTGGGCCCTCTCCCACAATGCTGCCTGAAGCTCTGACGGCAGGCCCTGATAGCTGCTTCGGGGTCTTATTTTGGGTGAACCTGAGGAACATTCTCTCTCACAGGGCTCCAGAGCCAGTGGTCACATGTTGTTAACTCTGGACTTTGGGAAGGCTGCGCTATATGGCTCCATGGTCACAGTATCGTATCGTCTTTTGTTATTGTGAGGCCCTCTTACTGGGGGGGAAATAATGTGCTGTGGGGTGGGACACGGGGCCACTGACGACTCTCAAACGAGGCTGTTCTTGGATCTGCTTAAACGCCTGTCTGATCACCTTGCTCCCCTGCCTAACACCTCTCAGAAGCTTCTCTGCTCGAGTCCACATCCTCTCCTTGGCTTCTCATGTCCTCGTGGTGACCACCGCAGGCCTCCGTGGCTGCAGCTCGCGCCACACTGGCCTTGGTGTGGTATGTTCCCACCCGTGGGCAGCCCAGGCACGTGCCCCTCTGTCTGGGAAGCTCTCTTCTCCTCACTTGGGCTTCTGAGCAGCTTTCCTTGACATGACCTTCATTAATTCAGCTCATGTTTACCGTCTGCTACGTGCCGCACGCTGTGCTCAGCACTGGAATAGGCAGAAAAGCCCCTGCTCTCACAGAGTTCAGGCGCCAGAGAGGGAGAATCTCAAGAGATGAACGTGCAACACACCGTCAGGTGGAGATGGGCGCTAAGAAAAGCACAGCGGTGCAAGCAGAGGGGGCTGGGACTGTCGTTCAGGGGCCCAGGAAAGCCTCGACACCTCACTTAGGAGTAGACCTGAAGAAGAACGGGAGCGGCTGTGAGGACGTCTGCGGGAAGAGCCCTGGAGGCGGGGGGAAGGGTGGGCGCACAGGTCCTGAGGGGCCTTGAGTTCCCGTGCGCAGGCAACAGTCAGGGTCTGCAGGCCTGGAGCTGAGGGCGGAAGGAGCGCGTCAGGAGACGAGGCTGGGACGGTAGGAGGGAGACGGAACCTGCAGGGCTGTGAACAAGGCTTCAGCTTCGTCTGGGTAAGACGCGCTGGTGAGGCAGGGCTGAGGGCGAGGCTGTGACCTGGTCTGATGGCCTGAGAGGATCCTTCTGCAGCGGTGTGGAAGGCACACCCCATAGGGCCGAGGTCCGAGGTGACAGCCCAGCCAGGAAGGCACTGCGTGTGGGAGGATGGAAGACGTGACGAGAGGGGGTCAGACTCCAGATCTCTGGGCTAGAGAAGCAGGACGTGCCCAGGGCTGCGGGCTGTGGCGGGGAGGGCATGTCTAGGGTTCCCCGCTGAGCAGGGAGGCAGGTGAGGGGCTGCTGTCTGAGGTGGGGGCTTGGGCAGGGGCAGGTCCTTCCGTGCCGTTCTGGCGCTACAAGCCTTGACTCCACAGCACTTCCCAAGACTCTCACCGCATGTTTATCTACTGATTGCTAGACTGGGGTCTGTCTCCACCACTTCAAGCTCCGAGGGCAGGCGTGGGCTGGCTGCTTTCCCCACTGCAGTGCCCCGCACCCAGCACAGCACCCGGCGTGTGAGCTCTCAACAGAGACTTGGAGACGGACTGAACAGGCCACAGGGCGAACACTCCTACCCGCACAGGTGTGTGGGCCGAGTTAACTCGCAAGGATGTGCTACCCCCTCACACAGTGCTCTTTTAACAAGGGCCTGGGGAAAAAATTTCCCTTTGGTCATGTCTTTGAGCTTCTGGTCAGCTTGAATGTGTGGACTACGAATTGTGCGCCAATTCTGAACCTGTGCTTCGGCTGCTAGAAAGTCAGGGCTATATCCGTGTCAGGGGCACTTCTGGCAGGGGTACAAGTCTGCAGAGTCTAGAGCACAGGGTCTGGGTAGGGTCCTCACCCAAAGCTTCCTTGCTTTCTACTATTTTATTCTTTTTTCTCCTTTACCCCAATTTCTTCCTTTATTTTCCTTATGTTATTGGATTTAATTTTCCTAAGCTGCCTCAAAGCAATCAGGTTTAAATGAGGTGCGATAAGGTAAATTTTATGATCTTGAGAAATGCAACAAACTCTGGTGCCCTAACCAGGAGAGGAGGAAAGGGGCTGAAGGAGAGAGTGAGAGCCACTGTTATGCAAACCACATCCAGTGGTCAGTCTGGAGTTTGGGAAGAAACTGGTGCCTGTGTTATCCAGGCAGCTGCCTTTCAGAAATCACAACATGACCCTCTGGTGACCTGGCGGGGATGGACACTGTGTCCTCTGGCACAAGGCAGGCTGGGGCTTACCTGCCTGGAGAGGAGGACAAGCTGAGCAACAGGTGTCCGGAGCCTTAAATAAAAATGTTCATACCCCTGCTGCCAGAAATTCCTTTCTGGGGAATCTAGCGTAAGGAGAGAATCCTAAATACTAAAAATATTAGATGGTCCTGAGGCAAAGGCCTGGGTGTGTATTCCTAGCACTGAGTACAGTAGAGACTTGAGAAATAGCTGCCAAAAGCCAAGTTGGATGCACCACGCTCATGTACACGGAGCCACGGAGAGACAGCAAGGGTACAGGGGAGAGGGAAAGGAACACAGTGCTCTGTATGGAGACGAGACTCTCTCCAAAGACACATAGATACACTCAGACCATACATCTTTGAAAAAGACACACGTCCAAGGACACAAATGCACGGGGGCAGGTGCGTCTGGTGAAGGGAAGTGAAGGTGGAAAATGGAGATGGGTGTCAGGGGTGAAGAAAACAAGGCGGGCGGCCTGGAGTGGCTGATGGCAGTGTGCTGTGAACTGAAGCAAGTGAGAAATCCATCTCTTCTCCCGAGGTCCGGGAAAAAAGGAAAAGAAAAAACAGTGAACACCTAATGTTATCCGATGCCTTCTTACTAACAAGAGTAAAAATCAGAACTACGTTTTCTGCGTGAAGCGAGGGGGATGCTATCAGCCAGCCGTGGTGTATCTGCCTGGGAGGGATATTCTGAAATCATTAAAAGGAGTGGTTCTGATCCAATAATGAGGGACGAATGAACGGGAAGCAGGCGTTGTTTCTGACTCACCCACAGACTGGTAAAAGTAAAGGATTTTGATGCTGCTCGGGGTAGGTTGGAGCACAGGGAAGCCAGCACACTTGTAACTGTTGGAGGGCACGTAAACTGGTAAAATCAGAGGGATGTGGCACCATTTGTTCTGATTACCACATGGAGATACTGTGTGAGCTGGCAGCCCTACTGCAGATACACCTGACAACATGTGACTGTGCCGAGAGGTGCCCGCAACGATGCCCACGGCTGCAGGGCTGGGGCTTCCCACTGCTGGATGCCCCCTCAGGGTGTATCCGTGAAACAGAACCACAAGCAGCTGTTACAGAGAACGAGGCAGATCTGATGGTGCTCAGACAAAAATATCTCCCTGGTAAGAACTGTATGTTTGATGTATATATAGTTGTTTGAAAATTTTTACATAAATGTAGATCGCATAACGGAGTAACATAAGAAACTATGCTGGGGAGAGTATTATGGTTTATTTGCATCTTCTCTTAAATTGGAAAAAAAAATTTTTTTAAACTACATACATGTATTTTTAAAATGTAAATGAAAAGTGATCCTTAAGGAAGGACTTTCCTCGTGGTCCGATGGTTAGGACTTTGCACTTCCACTGCAGGGAGCACAGATTCAATCCCTGGTCAGGGAACTAAGGCCATGCACAGGCCATGAAGGGTGGCAAAGAAAAAAAAAAGTTACCCTTGAAAAATTTTCAATGACCAGGAAAAAAGGGCTTGTACTGTGTTATTTAAAAAAAAAAAGTTATAAAATGACTATAATTATGTTAAAAATATGCTTATGAAGAGTCTGAAAGGAGATACGCCAAGGTATTAATGGTGATGACCTGTGTATTTTTCTCTTCAGTTTTCTTCATAACTTAGTTTTGTCATCAGAAAACAGTACACGTTCTACTAAGATAAAAAGTTTGTGAGTTTGCGGTACATGAGAAAATGCTTATGAGGTTATCAATGTGAAGTGAGGGAAGCAGCTGCAGGACTGAGCACGCCACGTGGTCACAGCTACGGGGGACCATGCAGAGGAAGGACACACCTCCAAAGGGGCTCTGTGACTGTCTCTGGCAGGGGGGGTTTGGATGGCTGCTGTTTTCCCCTTTTTACTTTTCTGTGCTTTCCAGGTTTTCAACACTGAGCCTGTGTAACTTTTATTGGGAAAATAAACCTCGATAAATTAAAAAAAAAAAGAAAAGCAATTAGTATAGTAGAGGTATGTCCGAGACACAGCTATACCCCACCCCAACATGGAGAGTACAATGAAATCAAAACAGAACAGAACGAAAGCTCCACGGAGAAGGGAACTAAAGACTGGTGGGAAGAAGCCCCCCAGCATCACAGCAGGGAAGTGGGTCAAGAGGTGAATTGTTATTACTTTTCTTGCTCTTTATTTTCTAGAAATGAACATGCATGTCTCCTGTGATGGGAAAAACAGAACAAAATAAAATAAAGTTATTTAAACCAAATGACACACCAGGTGACAGAGGACTTACTTTGAAAAAGAGGTAGAGTCCCAAGAGGGTGCAGCTGGCGATGATGGGGAAGCGAGCGGCGTCCCGACTGGTGATGGTCTCGGGCATGTCCGAGGCATTCTAGATGAAAGAAAGGCCACGCTGAGAGAGGGGACTGGTTCTGGCCTCCAAGGGTTGGACGCTGGTGGGAACCTGGTGCCACGACAGCTCATTCATCTCCCCCCTTTCTGCCTGGTCACCGAGGTGCTTCAGGGGTCCCCATGTTTTCCTGACACAAGGCTTTGCTAGTGTTGTTCCCTCTGCCAGGGCTACTGTCTATCCACCCCGGAGCAGGATGCTCTGATCCCACTGACTTGCTATTGAAGGGACTGGGACCCCGGCAGGGACAGTCCTGGGAGGACCCAGTGCATGTGTGGCAGAGGCACTGGGTACCTAACAACTGGAAGAGAAAACAGTGGACACTGGCAACAGGAGAGTAGTCCGAGGCCTCATGAGGACTACTTCCAGTTTTCTTACAGATTAGCTGAGGTGTAAATATGGTCAGTCTTTTTTTTATCCAGTAGGTAGTGAATATTATAAGTGGAAACATACCAACAACAAACCAAAACTAACACTGGCTAAAACTGAGCATTGGGAAGACAACAACTGCAAGGAGAAGCAAATCTTGACAAAACTCAAACTCAAGAAGCATGACTGGGAAAATGAATCTGGTCAGAGTACAAGCCACAATTAAACTCACAGTGGCAGATACAATAGTTAGCAGGAATGGGATCTAGGTATAGAGCTGACAGAGGATAAATACCTACATGAAACAACTGAATGCAAGCAAAATCACTTCAATACTATTAAAATGGAGAAAAAAATGGAAATGGAATTACAGTAAAACACAGAAAGTTAAATCAGCTCCATGGAATTCATGACAAAAAGAGTTTCTAATGAAAATCTATATTGGTGTAATTCTGGCTGTTGTTTAGTCTAAGGTGTGTTTGACTCTTTGCAGCCCCATGAACTGTAGCCCAGCAGGCTCCTCTGACATGGGATTTTCCAGGCAAGAATTCTGGAGTGGGTTGCCATTTCCTTCTCCAATAATTCTGGTTTAAACTTATATTAAAAAACATTTTAAATATAAACCTAAAAGTCAAAAGCTTTCAGGACCATGAGGCTCTCCATCCACTTCTGTGCTCACAGTCCACAAGGATCCAGCGACCGTCCCTGCATGACGATGCACCTAGAGTGACTGCTCTAACAATGACTTGCTGGGTGACTCAGGCAGATCGTGCACTCTCTGAGCCTCAGTTCACTCATCTGTCAAACAGAACAACGCTATCTATAGCTTTCCTTACCTCTAAAAGGGCCAAGAGGCTTAAACTAAATGAGATGTCAAAGAACCCGGCAAACTGTAAAGTACTGTGGCTGAAGGGAGCTGTGATTATCAGGGAGGGGCAAGTGGGGAGGCCCTAAGCCAAACTCCAATACAGCCAGGGCTGAGGGAGATCCTCCCCTCTGAAAGGACCAGGTAGCTGTGTGAGTCACTCTCTGGCAGCTCCACTAGGAGCAGATGAGCAATAATGACATGGAGAAGCAGGCCCATCTTCCTTCCTTCCTCCCAGCCCTTGGTTTCTGCATTTGGCAGCACTGTGCAGTAGAGTGTGGGCAGATTCATGGCCCTCAGTGGAGCGCCACAGAGTCACTGTATTTCCTGTGTAGCAGCAGGGTGCGCACAAAACTAAATGAGCTCCCGACCTTAAAGTGTTCACAGGCAGGTAGGCCAAGACCTTGACATGTAAACAGAATATCCCCGTGTAGCGTGACCCGTAGTAGAACTGCTGCGATACGTGGCGTGAGTACCCAGTTGTGGAGGGAGGGCTCTGACGTCAGTGGGCCCAGCCCCACTGCCAGCTCTGCTTCTCCCAGCGGTGGGACCTTGGGCAAGTTATTTTCTTTCTCAGAGCCTCAACTTCCTCAGCTGTAAAATGGGTTGCCAGGATTCAATGATTTTTGCATTGGAAGTACTTGGTGTTGTGCCTTGAGCTTCCCACCAGTTGTACAAATTGCATTATTATTATGTACAAGGGAGTCACGTGAAAGTGGACAGGACACTACTTCTGCAAGGAAGCAGGGAGTGTCAGAGGTGGTTAGAGCAGATATTACTTAAGCAAAGCTGTGAAGGCCAAGCACAGGGTCTGGTATGCAATAGGAGCCAGATAAATGCTGACTGAGTTGAGGAGTCTGCTTTGTGTACAAGCAGCGTTTATGGGCAGAGGGACCTGTAGACACAGGGCATGTGGTGTGAAAGGACCCACAGACTCTGGCATCACCTGCAAACCAGTGTCACTGCTCGTTTCCACACATTCACATCAATTCAGCCCAGAATCCTGGGTGGGAAGAGGCTTAATATTATCTGATGGCAAACCAGGTTGGACAGATGCTCCAACACACGGTCAAATCTGGCCTTCTGCGTGTGACTGTTAGAAATACCCTATTGTGCAATGTTGAGTCAGCACAGAAGACTGGAAATCTGACTGACCAGGATAGTAACACTGACAACATTTACTGAGAGCTTTCTAGGTGCCAAGCATTCTAGGTGCTTGACATGATTTCATCCTCACAATAACCCGAGGCAGCAGGTACTTTTAATACCTCCATTTTACAGATAAGGAAACCGAGGCTCAGAGAGGCGATGTAACTTGCTTTAAGGTCACACAGCTGCCCAAGTGGCAGAGCCAGGAGGCATGCTGAGGCAGTGTGGTTCCAGAGCGCAAACTCTTGGCTATTACCCCCTAGATGTCCTCTGCCTTTCCTATCTGAAAATTTCTGCTGGAAAGTTATGTCAAGATGCTCAGGGGGCCTGTGACTTTTCTGAGGAACAGAATCCTGACAGCAACAGAATCTTTGTAGTTACAAATATACTAGAAGTTGGCTGGATTCGCCACTGATTCAACTCGGGTTTTTAAACTAGATGTTCGTATGAAATACGATGGCTCCTGGGGTGGGTGTGAGTGGCTGGGAGCTGACACAAAGCGCAGAAATGAATTGGCTTCCAGTGACACTCTGGACGCTTAGTTAGCAGGGCGGAGCAAAAGCAGCAAGGGAAGAAGGATGCCAACTTCATTCAAGCCGCTGGCTCTGCTGGAGCTCTGGGAGTTCTGCTTCCAGGCCATGCTCTACAAGGGATCGGGGATTCATGGACCATTCTGTCATCCCAGGTCTCCTCTACTCACTGCATGTGCACTCACTCACCCAAGCGTCTCCCAAACTACCCCCACCCCAGTCCTTCACCCTCCACTGCAGTCTCCATGAGCTCCACCTCACCAGCCCCTTCCCGCCTGCCCCCTCCTCTATCAGGAGCTCTTTCTGAAGGACCTGATCACATTGCACAACAGCTCAGAAACCTCTGGAGAATGGGCTACCAAGCAGCCATTAAATGAGAATCAAGGTCACTGTGGGTGGGAATATCAACTGGTACAACCTCTGCACTAGATAACTTGATGAAATCCATTGAAATTAAACATGCATAGAGCCTCTGACCCAGCAAATCGATTTCAAGGTATTTATCCTACAAACACAGAGAAGCATGAAGTAACAAATGTATAATGAGATTAATTTCAGCATGGCTTATGATAGCAGATTGACACAAACTGACTGACTAGTGGAGGACTCCAAATCAGGGGTCCTCACACCTGAGCACATGTCAGAATTGGCAGTAGGGCCTGTGAACAGATACGTGTTTCTAACAAGTTTCCAGGTGCTGCTGCTGCTGCTGGTACAGGAATTACACTTTGAGAATCATGGCTGTGGGGTACAGGGGGACATCATATAGCTATTAAAAAACGTAACTTCTCCATGTGTGCTGGTGTGTTAGATTTGAAGCATATAAGTGGTCGAAACAGCAAGGTGCAAAGAAGAGTGTGTCTACAATAAAATGTGGACCTCCCCAGTAACAAATCTGCTTGGAATGCAGGAGATGCACCAGGAGCCATTGGTTTGATCCCTAGGTTGGGAAGATTCCCTGGAAAAGGAAATGGCAACCCACTCCAGTATTCTTGCCTGGAGAATCCCATGGACAGAGAGGCCTGGTGGGCTACAGTCCATTGGGTCTCAAACAGTCGGACACCACTGAGCGACTAAACAGTGGAAACAACAAAGGGCAACAGTTATACAGCAAAGATGGGGGGAAGTGTGCGCTTATTTACTTGCAGAGGCACAGACACCTCTTGATGGATATCCAAGAAAGAGGTAGTAGGGGATGCCCCTGGGGAGGGAAACTGGGCAGCTGGGGTGGGAGGGAGATTTTGCTCAGTCCTTCTGGAATTCTATACCACGAGTTTGCGTAACCTACCTTCCCCGCCATAAAACAACAAGATAAGTCTACATGTACCGACATAGGAGAAACTGAGACATACTGCTTTGGAGAAAAAAAAAAAAGAATCAGGTTTCAGAGCAGTATGTACTGCAAAATCCCATTTTTATAAAAATAAATTTACATATGTGTACACACATGAGCACGTACATGTCTGTATACGCACAGAAAAAGGTGCGGAAGGATGCAAACCAAACAAACTGGGTTACTTTCAAGGAAGTGGTATGGGGTGGGATTTCCTTCATGCTTCTGTGTTGCTTGAACTTTTACAAACACAAAACATGTAGTGGCTATGAAGATTAGCTGTTGCGTTGCCTTCGGGATTCCATACCTCAGAAACGCTGCAGGTTCCTGGAGCATCTTCTTGTTATCTCACCCCAGCACCTGTACTGGACTCGCATCAAACTGCTCACTGCCTCCCAGAACACGCCTGTGGTCCTACATCTCCCTCTCCTGTCCTGCCCACTGAGCTCTTGCCCACCCTGGCAAAGATCATGGCTGCCTCCTTGAGCAGTTGGCTGGTCACACAGCTATTTCTCATTGGGGACTGAGCTCTGTGAGGGCAAGGCTTGGCCTCTTCGTCTGGCACTCCTGGTAGCCAGCCCAGGGCCTGGCATAGAGCAGGAGCCCAGTCCAGCTGGCTGGGGGGCTCCTCGGAGTTACCAGCCAAAGGCCTTTAAATCGATCTGACGAGTAGCTGTTCCTGGGACCTGCTCCCTTTTGGGAACACAGGTCTCTGACAGGGACAGGCATTGCTCTTGGATGGCTGTGCCGATGGCTACTTCCTCCCAGCACACTCCTGGACGCTTCACCTTCTCCTCCCACGATTTCACAACTCTGTCTGTCACGGACAACTTGGCTCCAGGGAGAATTCTGTCCTCACATGCCTTCTCTCAGCTGGCTGTGGGGGTCCAACACTAGTGAGAAATCAAAATTCCTGGGCCCCCAAGCTAACTTTTCTCCCCTTGTCAAATGATCATGGAAACATGACTCAGGGTAGACAATGGGAGTCATTTGGCCTCTCCTCTCCCCAGGCCAAAATGCCACTTGTATGATGCAGGCAACTGCATCCAGGAGAGAGCCCAGGACTAGGAACACCTGGTTCTGCCCCTAACTGGCAGAGAAATCATTTCTCTGCCTCTCAGTTTCTCTGTACCACGGTGATAATAAAACTGGCTCTGCCTGCCTCAGTCAGTAGCTGGGAGAATCAGAGAGTGAAGGCTTATAAGCTTTAGGATACCCTGGTGGCTGGAGGCTACTAATGGTCACGCTGTTTGTAATTCCATACAGTCTTCCAATCCCCCTGTCTCTCAGGAGATGCTGGGGAGGGATATTTAGATACTACAGTAGATCTAAAGCTCTTCTATTCTTACCCTCTGCTCCAGCCACTCCAGACCTTCCACCAACTCCTAAACTGCTGTGTGCAGCTACTTCCCTAGTTTCCTTTGCTTCGAACGTCTTCTGGCTGAAATTCAACCTCTATATGAAGGCTCGAGTCCACCTCCAGCACAAGGCTGCCCTGCCCAGCTCCAGGCGTGCTCGATATTCTCCCTAAACCCTGCAGCACTACTTATATTACAATCTCAGATCTAGTTATTCCCCACTCATCCAGACACCTGAACTCCTTGGTGATAGGGCTCTGACCCACTCATCTTTGCAGCATCCCTCTGTCCTGGACAACAGTGGAGGTTCAGGAAATTCTGTTGTTTGGAAGGTGTTTTCTAAAGAGATTAGTAATTCATGTGTAGAAGGTGCTATGGAGAATTACTCAAGTTTGGGGAGCCCCTCACATCAAGTGCTTAGCTCATTCCACACTGCCCTTCACTTCCTTTGTCCTGATCTATTTTGGAATTTCTCCCTGCACCAAGTGTTTGCCTGTATGGCACGACAGGGAGGCTGAAAGCCACCTGAACTCTGCTTAGAAGAGGCAGAAGAGTAAGGCAAATGGGGCCACCTAAGCCCTGCCTGACCAATCCCCCCTGCATCTGACCTAGAGGGAACCAGCAGCAAGTTCTCCCATCTTGGGAAAGAAAGGTGGCAGGCCCCAGCCACTGCTCAAGTTGGGTAATGTTTCGAGAACCTGGGTTTGAGCAGTTTCAAAAGAGGCAGCTGTTTTGTGGGTCTGCCCTCCTTGGGTAAGAGAGCTTCCGCTAAGGTTCAACTTCAGGTTTGGATGGGGGAGGAGCAGCAGGGAGCCACAGATCAGGAGCTGGTGGTGGATGACTGACAGGCTGACAGGAAGTGAGAAGCCATTGGTGCAACAGGCTAGAGAGAACTTCTACAGAGAAAAAGGATGGGAGGGAGGAAGTCTGGAGGTGGAAGGCCCTGGGATCCTCTTAGGTATACAACGGGACAGATGCTGAAGGCCAGGGATGGAGTCTGGCCCAGTCTTACAAGAGAGGCCAATGGCAGCTCAGTAACTCAGCTGAGTTACTCCAATTTGGTGGAAGGACTGTCTTAAGGGGCATGAAGAGGGGAACTACTTTGAGGTAGGGTCAGGGTCTGGGGTGGAACAGTGTTAGGAATAGGGTCTGGGCTCAGGCTAGGATAGGTCCAAACTTGGGTGTTAGGCAGGGAAGAGGAAACCAGCAAACTTGGGGTCTATGACTGGTTAAAAAAGAAAGGCACCGAAGTGCCAAGTTCTGAGGAGCTGGCTGAATGGAACTGGTTCCAGAAAGTGATACAAAAAACTGGGGCCTGGGCTGGGGTTCTAGGAATTAATATTTCTGTGTTAGTTTTTTTTTTTGAGGTTGGGCAAGGGCCTGATCTGTACTCTATGGGTCACAGATTCCAGCTGGACAGGTGTGAGAGCCTAGGGATGAGCCTGGGTTCCGGAACTTACCCGGGGAGGGGGGTAGGGTGAGGAATGACAAGAGACTGTACTATTCAGGAGGTGTTAGGACCAGCGCCCCGGCAGGTACAGAGGGATGCTGACCCAGAGACTGGGATGCGGTGAGTGTCCCACATGGAATGAGCAGCCAGAGCCATGGGTGAAGCTGGTCTGGCTGGGACCAGCAGGCTCAAAACAGTGCTCGAATCATAGTCTGACGGTCTGCCAACAGGGCTTCCAGCACGACGCACAGAGAGAGGGACGCGTCAAGGTCCGAAAGGGGATGGAAACCAGTCCCTATTTGAGGAAGGTGTCAGTTCCTTCCTGGAAGGAAGGTGTCAGTTCCTTACCTGGTTCGCGGATGGGTGCCCACATCCTGAGGCACACCTAAGGTCAGCCCCGGGATGTGGCCTGGGGTGGGGAAGCCGTGGTGGGCGATATTGGGAAGGGTGAGTGTTCGGACAGAGGAGGTGTCTGTCCCGTCTAAGGCGGCGGTGGGGGGAGGGTCCGTGTCAGTCGTGTTAGGGTGGGAGGTGGACAGCACCGGGTTTTGTCGCGGACCCTACCTTGCCGCGGGCGCAGCGCACGGAACGCAGGGCGCCGAAGAAGATGGGCAGTAGCGCCATGAGCAGGAGGCTGCCGTAGGCCAGCGCGATGCCCTCTGGCGTGGAAGGCGGCCGCGTTGTGCCGTTGGTTGGGCCGCCTGCCTCGGCGCTGCCGTTATGCGGTTCGCTGACGGCCGAGTCCATGGCGAAGCTGCGCTCGGGGTCCAACTCCAGCTCCGGCCGCTGCAGCGGAGACGCAGAGGGAAAGATCCGGCGCTCTGGGAAAGCCACGTTCTCCTAAAGAAACAGGAAGTGACGTGCCTCCCTCGCCGGCCCGCGCCGCGCACGCTTGCGCGTTCATATCTCCACGCCCGCGCGCCCTCTAGCGGCGGTAGAGGGCCAGGAGGCCGGTTGCTATGGACCACTGCAGTGGGCATCCACTCCGAGGGAGATCTGAGGACCCCATTCCCAGTCAATCTCCTTAATCCCGGGATGTCCCACTCCCCGAAATTCCTAATAACTAACAATTTGTTTACACATGCATGCATTCATCCAATATTTAATCATCCCCTCATTCCTTAAATACTGAGTATCCCATTATATTATAGGCACTGTCCTAGGCTCTGGAGACACAGAAGGGAACAAAACAGGCAAAAGTCAGTCCCTGCCCTCATGAAACTTGCATTTTAGTGTGATGGGAGGGGGTGTTGGGAGGAATAAAATGAATAAAAATAAAACGATAGGATATTACTGTGTAGTTATATGTTATATAGCATGTTAAGAGAGATTGATAATTTATAGAGACCTCTCTCTCTAGGAATCTAGTGAACTTTTGTATATGGCTTGGGCCAGAATGTTTCCAGCCAGTTCCAGGGGACAAAGGTCAGGAGGCTTGCTTTGCTGATGGCCAGGCCTGTGGGAGTCCCAGTATCATGTGTGTTCAGGGGTGAGGAGAGGGTGTGGGTAGGAGTGACTCAGGCTTGGGTGCATGCCTGGGCTATCTGGGGTTCCTGGCTCTGCTGCTGATGCCCTAGTTAAGAGCTGGAGAAAGTAGGTGGCAGATAAACTGAAGAGCTGCACCCTGCAGGTACCAAGCACTGGAGAAACTCTGGACCAAGCAGCGGGAAAAGAGCATGCTCTCCAGGAACCCAGGAAGTGAGCCAACCTCGAGCCAGGAAGGGAATATCTATCCTCTTCCAGTATTCCTCTAGTACACTCTACTGAAAAGATTTAACATATGTCAGTTGGCAAGGGAGAAATATTTACAAGGTCCAGCTCCATTATCACAGAGCTGGCAAAAATGGTAGATCTAGAGCAGTAAGTTGATTAGTGACACAGATAGTGTAAAAATCACATGGCCTGGATCCAAGCTGGACAGGTGGTGAGGTGGGGTTGGAGTATAGGGTTCATAGTGAGAGGAGACAAAGGCAAGGAGTCAGACTAAAAAAATTGAATAATAGAGTTGTTTGCCTAATTAGTGCCAGGCACTGTACTTTAAGAGTGTTTTGTTTGATCTCAGTAACACTGCTGAGACACAATTATTCCCATTTTGCAGATGATGAAGCAGGCTCACAGAGGTAAACTAGCTAGCCAGGTCACACAGTTCAGCAGAGGAAGAGGAGAGACTTGGACTCTGGTCTGTAGGGCTCCAAAGTCTCTGCTTTTTCTAATATTTCAGCTACAAAGAAGGCTAAGGAGTTGTTCCCAGAGTGACTTAGTTCTGGGCAGATGGTGTACAGTTTCAGGCTCTGTTTTTCAGAAGCTGGACGTGACCTGAGTGGATGGGTGAAGGCAGTGTGCCTGATGAATTCATCCATCAATAATTCAGGCCACAGGATTTGCCCAGCAGCTGGGCCTCATGGCTCCAGGCTCTTCATCTGAGAGCGTACAATTGGAAATCAGAGACACTCTCACTTTGTGCTAGGCTGAGCACTTGATTTAGTTTGGCCCAGGGCAGATCTGGCCACTACCTTTACCCTCATGGGAGACTGTGAATATGACCTAGGGAACTGAGGGGTCGACTCAAGTTCAGAAAGCTCCGTCAAGGCTTCTGAAGGGTTGGATTTCTGGCTTGGAGCTAGCCTGTCTTGATAGTCTCTGGAGGCAGGGATAAGATAGTCTTGAGGAGGGGTGGTGGTGCCCTGAGGCTTTATCTGCTGGAACCTCCTGTATGGCGTTACTTTCCCAGAGAGATCTGAGCCGAGGTAAAAAACAGGGCCTGTCTAGTTAGCCTGGAATAGTTAAATTACCAAACACTTGCTCCAAAGAAAGATGTAGATCCTACCCCCTCCCCTTTCACTTATTACTGTGTTTGGTCACTGTGAATGGATTTCAGGTTTTCCAGTTTTTTTTTTCTCATATATGCTCTCTCTCTCTTTCTCTCTCTCACACACACACACCTTGCACACACTATTATGTGCTTAAATAATTCTGAAAATACTAAGTAAGGATCATTATTGGATGCTAAGCTGTGGGAGAAAGGTTTTTTCTAAAGGCACAGGATAGTCACACAATAACAGATGACTTGTTATTTATAAAAACAAAAACTTGCCTTTATAGTGGAGTGATCTGGTGGACACTCCCTTATCCAAGTGATCAAACTTAGCCATTACTGAATGGGATGGGACAAAAGGACTAGATGTGATGCAATGTGGGGGACACATCACCTGAGCAGTCTTTTTGCCAAACACATTTAATCTATATCTACTGATGAGGAAACATCAGGAAAAATCTGAAGATGTCAGACTGTGGCATATTCAGGATAGCTAGCCAGAACTCTTCAAAAATGCCAGTGCTGTGAAAGAAAATAAAATTCCTGGTGTAGATGAACAGAGACTGAAGAGAGGTAAAAAGCAAATGTATGTATCATCCTTGATTGGATCTTGGATCACAGCAGTTTCAAGAAGGCTTTAAAGATCATTTTCAGACACTTGGGGAAACTGGAATGTGGATTTTTTGGGTGTGATGATGATATTGTGGTTCGGTCGCACCTTGCTGATCAGGGTGTGATTCCTGGACTAGCAGCATAGGCTGGAAGCTATAAGAAATGCAGATTCTCAGGCTCCACCAGACTTACTAGATCTCCAGGTGATCCAAACACACATTTCGTGTGACAAATGCTGGTATAGGAGACCTCTTGTATTTGTAGGAGGTATATTCCTGCCTCAGGAGCCCAGGTGATCCTCTGCTGTTGATCCCTGGGAGAAAACAGGCAGGAAAACAGTGTAACTCTGTGTAAATGTTTACTGTTATATTACCTGCTGAGGTCACAGGGCCTTTAAGTATATATGCTCAATAAATATTTGTACGCGAATGAATGAGTATATTGTTCCCTCCACCTAACCTACTTTATCTTTCCCCACAACCCTGCTTAACCCCTACGCATCCCAGAGACAGCTAGTAGAGCTAGCACAGAGCCAGCTAGTAAAACTCCGGTTTTTTACTAAGGAAAAGGAATTAGGAGGAAAAAAAAACAGGGGGAAGCATTCTCTGTGCCCCTCTACCTCCTTACAGTAAGGCCGGAATCCTCATTTGCGAAGATCTTCTTGGAGGCCCAAACTGCTCATGCGGCTGTTTTCAGTTCTATTATCCTAGATGCTCGGTTAGCGCATGTCCTGGTTTGGGCAGGACAGGTGTGGTTTCTGCCCTTTGCCACGGCTTATTATTATTATTTTAAAATATTCGTATTTATTTATTTGGCCGCACCAGGTCTTAGTTATGGCACACAGGATCTTTGATCTTCGTTGTGGCATACTAAGTCTTAGTTGCAGCATGTGAAATCTAGTTCCCTCACCAGGGATCGAACCTAGGCCTGTGCATTGGAAGCATGGAGTCTTAGCCACTGGACCACAGGGAATTCCCTGATTGTTATTATTATTAATTTATTTTTAGTTGAAGGATAATTGCTTTACAGAATTTTGTTGTTTTCTGTCAAACCTCAACATGAAGCAGCCAGGTATACATATGTCCCCTCTTTCTTGAATCTCCCTGATTATTATCATTTAAAGAAAATATTTACTTATTTGGCTGTGCCAGGTCTTAACTGCGGCATATAGACTCTTTAGTTGCAGCATGCTGACTCTTAGTTGGGCTCTAGTTGCGCAACCAGGGATCGAACCCAGACCTCCTGCATGGGGGGCCCAGATTCTTAGCCATTGGACTATCAGGGAAGTCCCTGGCTGATTATTAATATAAATAGAACTCCTTGCATCCTCAAGTGTATACTAGTTTGGATGATAATGTGTGGTCACTCTCATAGGTCAGAGAGCCTAAGATGAGAATTCTTCTTTTAGTGCCTTTGGTGGGGAGTGTCCTTAGGAGGAAGGGAAGGAAGGAAGGCAGGAGATAAAAGGCCAGGTGAGAATGGGGTTTCAGCTGGGGACTTGCTCCAGCATGATTCCAAGGGGACCTCTGGGGCGCACTAACTGCACAAATTTGAGGCTTCCTTTAGTTTGTGTCTGTCAGTCACTGGCCACAGCCTAGAGGTGAAGGAGGGAGGGGAAGTCTCCCTGCTGAGTTGGCTTCTGTTTGACCAAGGGCAATTCTCCAGAGAAGGTGGCAGCTGAGTGTTTCTTAGCCAAAACTCACAACAGGTAGGGGTCAGATCACTACGTCTGGTAAAAAGCATCTGAATGGGGTGCCAATTACATCCCTTACAATACCCCTGCCCTCCTCAGCATGTGTAGATCTTTAAAACATAGAGCTGAGCATTAAGAAAAATGTGTGATATGGTTTATGCAAATTAAAAGTACATATCACATTGATAAACCCTAATGGAGAAGAATACGAAAAAGAATGCATAACTTAATCACTTTGCTGTACAATATAAATTAATGTGCGTGCGTGCTAAGGTCGCTTCAGTTGTGTCCAACTCTTTGCAATCCTATGGACTCTAACTCATCAGGCTCCTCTGTCCATAGGGATTCTCCAGGCAAGAATACTGGAGTGGGTTGCCATGCCCTCCTCCAGGGGATTTTTCTGACCCAGGGATGGAACCCATGCCTCCTGCACTGCAGGTGGATTATTTACCGCTGGGCCACCGGGGAAGCCCTCATGTAAATTAACACAACGTTGTAAATCAACTATACCTCAATAAAATAAATTTTAAAAGTACGTATTACATAGCAACATTGCAAACCTAACAAGGATATTTACATGTTAAAGAACACTTATTGAGCACGTTAGAATGGCTGCATACAGAGCGA